GATTTGGCTTTGAATTCATTTTCATGGATTATTGATAGTATTTAAGGCCTTGATCTGACAGACTTATAACATAAAATTCAATAAAAGTCAATAAAGCAGGAACGATATTTCACCATGTGCACTTTTCTCTTTATTTCCTTTGAGCACTGACCTTTCTTATACATGTACCTTATGTAATAATGTACAAAAACCTGCTGTGTAGTTATGAAGCATAATTTTTCATCGTCCAGATTAGGCATGACAGTTTTAGGCCATCAAATTGTATAAAATTGGAATTTACATTCTTGTGTAGTAGAAACATGGACATACAGTATATTTGTACAGTGCACTGTGTTTAAACATCAAAATAACTTTTGGATAAGATAGATGAACTATGTTTAGATTAAAGTATATAGGACAAATATATCTATCATGTTTTAAGAAAACATTGACATAGAAAGAGAGCTTTAATGTACTAATAAGGAATGTGCCGATTCATGTATTACCATGAACAGTTTGGAGAAACATAAACATGATAAAGATCAGAAACTGGGTGAAAATATATAAATTGGAAACAAAAGCTATCTATATTGATTATTAACATACCTTTCTTTAATTTTCTGTTTATGAATTTATAAAATATGAAGAAACTAAGATTCCAACTCACTCAGGCAAGTTGACTTTAGATGGATTAAGCTATTATCTTTAGTTCTCCTTTGGTCATATAGCTCTTCTCATGTTTCGGTATATACATCTTTGGCTTTCAAATATTTGGTTTTGAGCCCTCCTGATGAAGGTAATTCCAGAAAAGCGTTTCAGACACATGGAATTTATAAAGTGTTATTTTACAATTTTTATGTTTTCTGCTCTTTGGTCGGGTTGTTGTCTCTTTAAAGGGGTGGACAGCTTTTGAGGGAGGTGGGGGGAGCGGGAGGTGGGAGAGAAAAAAAGATTCTAAAAGTGGGAGTTGGGAGATAGGGGGCGGGATGTGAGAGAAGGGTACCCCCTGTCCACCCCATCCTCTTTGACACATTCCCCATTTCCATTCTCAATTTTATCTTATTTAAACATAATATTTATAAAATATACACTGGCTTTTTTATGCCACCGCCGTAGCGGTGGGGGCATTAAGTTTTACCCTTGTCCGTCTGTCCCAAAAATGGTTTCCGTTCTCTAACTTGAGGTTGCCTCAACCAAATAAATGTTATGAAACTTATACACAATGCTTATTACCACAAAACACAGATCAAGTTTGAATTTTGGTGGCGTCACTTTAACCGTTCTAGAGTTATGCCCCTTTATAAATGGAAAAAGTGCAAAATTTTTAGTTTCTTCTAAATATCAAGTAATTTTTAACATTGGAGTTAACTTCCTTTGTCCATGATTATAGTTGAATCGACTACAATCAATGCTTTATACAATGCAATGTTTAATTTTGACTTCCACTGATAAAAAACAGATCAAGTTGAATTTTGGTAGTGTCACTTTAACCATTATTGAGTAATGCCCCTTAAAAATAGAAAGATTGCAAAATTTTTAGTTTCCATTCTGTAACTTAAGTTTGCCCCAACTAAACATTATGAAACTTATACACAATATTTATTACCACAAAACTAAGATCAAGTACAAATTTTTTGTTTCCGTTTTCTAACTTTAGATGGCTTCAACCAAATGTTATGAAACTTATACACAATGCTTATTACTACATAATACAGATTAAGTACGAAATTTGGTGGCGACACTTTTACCATTCTTGAGTTATGTCCCTTTATAAACATAAAAATTACTGAATTTTTCGTTTCTGTTCTCTAACTTTAGTTTGTCTCAACCAAATGTTATAAAACTTATACACAACCGTTCTACAGTTATGCTTGTTTACAAATAGAAAAATTGCTGAATTTTTAGTTTCTGTTCTCTACTTAAGTTAGCCTCAACCAAATGTTATGAGACTTACACACAATGTTTATTACCACAAAACTCAGATCAAGTTCAAATTTGGGTAGGGTCACTTTAACCGTTCTTCAGTTATGTCCCTTTATAACTATATGATATGCAAGTGGGGGCATCATCTGTATCCACATGTGGACACTATCCACATTTATTTTTCTGTCTTTTCATGCAGTGTCTGCTTTGCTTGTTCAAAAATTTTAGAAGAATTTAATTTAATTTAAATCATTTTTTTTAAAGAGGATTGCGCAGCTAGAGGCTATGTGTGGTCTCCTCAACATAGATATATGCAGATTCACAATTTAACAAATTTGTTTACAAAAATGTTTTAACACAAGACAAGACAATATGTACAGGACAAGACATTTTACATATGGTATTCCAGCACTGCATTAGTATCCATGTACTTCATATTCAGGGAGAATGAGGTTCTTCCCTTTCATGTTTCAGTGATTTTGGATGTTTAACATGGTTCAAATGTAACAAAATTTTTCACTACTGAAGCTGTTGCATTTATGCCCTCTGCATTTTATTTTTTTTAGGACAATATGATGCCTGACTTGGGCTTATTAAGTTGGGGAGGGGATGATTCAACTGTTTTAATACGACCGCAAAAAATTTTTGCAGTCGTATATTGGTATGACGTTGGCGTCATTGTCGTCGTCATCGTCCGAAGACACATTGGTTTTCGCACAATAACTTTAGTTTAAGTGAATGGATCTCTATATTTTACCATAAGGTTCAATACCACAAAAGGAAGGTTGGGATTGATTTTGGGGGTTACGGTACTAACAGTTAAGGAATTAGGGGCCAAAAAGGGGCCAAAAATAAGCCTTGTTGTAACTTCCAGACAATTACTTGTGTGTTAGTGCATGGATCTCTCTGACATTGTACCAAATTTTTCTAGTTTCCAGACAATAACTTGTGTGTTAGTGTATGGATCTCTCTGAAATTGTACTACAAGGTACCATACCAAAAAGGGAAGGCTGGGATTGAGTTTGGGGGTGATGAATCATAAGGGGGTTCCAAAAATTTGGGGGTGGGATTTTTTTTCTATTTTAAGACTTTTATGATGTATTTAAATTGGTAATTATGGTTGCAAACTCCATTGGAAATTTGAATTGAGATTCTGACCATATTTTGAGGGAAAGAATTTTTTTTTGGAAAAGTTGGGGGGGGTTTAAAAAAAAAAATTTTTATTGGGGGGTCAATACGCAACAGCATACTGTATTTCACAAAAGCAATTATTCGGTGTCAGAAACCTATTATGTGTCAAGTATATTTAATTACAATCCAAATTCAGACCGGTATCAAGCGCGAATATTGTGTCCATTTTCGCCCCAACTGTTCAGGGTTGAACCTCTGAGGTCGTATCCTGCTGCGCTCAGCGAAGCATTTTATTTTGATATGCAAATATCATAGAATGCTTATTTAGTCCTCAAAGTAATTAGCATGTGTCCTAATTGTTTATTATGAGAATATTCAGATTTATATCTCTGTTTATTTCTTTTTAATAGGACTTGTTTTGACATATGTAGCCATAAACTTTTGCAAATAAAAACAAGACTATAATTAAATCATATATATATTTCATTACTATATTGTTTTATCTGTCAACTTTAAATTGAAACCCCATCATATTATTATAATATTTAAAAACTTGAATAAATATTAAATATGTAGGAAATTGTATGAGATACATAAATTGCCTAAATATCCATGTTTTAATAGAATTAAGAACATACACTGTTCTTAAATAATAAGCATGTCCTCGTCTATGTTAACATAATAATTTATGTCGAACACGTAAATCCACATGGGGAATCCTGAAACATAAAGCTGTCAAGAGTATGAAATCTGTGATTCCCACTCAATTAAGGTGACAATTTGACCTACATGTATCACAGGTTTATGACAAGTCGTACTTACATGTAGTTGATATTTTATTAAGATATAAGACAGTTTAGATTGATAATTATGTATTCCATTACATTATTGTATACTGCACTAATGAATTGTCTACCTCTCATAATGTCAATGCATTTTTGTACTACATGACACACAGTTTTTTGTGGAGATTTAAAATTGTGGTTTGCCATTGTTACATTGTGTAGAGCAAGCTGAAAAAGATAAAAAAGCATTTAGAACTAGGAATTATATTGACAATCCTTCACTTTTAAGGAATTATTATTCATGTAATGGGATAATATTGCTACTATTTTATGTTGATGTTAGTCCCAAGTAGTCAGTTGAGAAAAAAAATCTAGGTGTTAAGTGCAAATAGTTTGGGACTAGTACTTAAAAAAACCTAAAGTCCTGAGTCTATCCTTATAAATTATATATTCTGTGGGCAAAAACTGTTTTTACAGTTATGACCTCAGTACAAAGATTTTTCTTGTACAAAACGTAAATCATGCCAAAAAAACATTAACTGAGGAGAAGACCATTTGATTCACCTGTTGCTAGGTGGTTTATTTATTTTGTGGAAAAAAGCTGTTCTATCTATTGTTTTCAGTTTTGTAAATGTGATAATCATATTCAAAATATTTATGACTGTAAATCCTGGTATTTTTACTTCTAGCAAACTAATAATCCAATCACAGTTTCAGAAGTTAAGGATTGGGAGTCATTTCATTGGTGTCACCAAATGGAAATACCTTTTCTTCATTGGTTGAATTATCAGAGCCGGATTTAGGGGTGGGGAAGGGGGGGGGGTTGTTGGTCCCCCTTATGGAGCTTTATCTATGATAAATGCATAGACTATTTACAAGTATCACTCCAAATGTTGGCTTGCTTTCTAAATACTGGATCCCAATTGATTATATCCATTGTTTAATACGTTTTTTAACCAATTGGAAAGTTTTGGTGTTCACTTTTGAAAATAGTACTGTACCCAGATCCAGTGCATTGCATTCTGATACATTGAATTGTCACTGTTGCTCAGCATGGAAGGGAAAAAATTAGGTAAAGTAAAATTTGTCTTATTCAGGATTCGTGAATTGATATACAAGTATTGAAAAATGTTTTAAGATTGTATTTTGCCAAAATTAATAAATGTGAATTTCTCATTTCAGATATATGGCCAGTACAAAAGAGACCTTGGAAGTTTTGCCAAATTTCAAGCCAAGAAATTTAAAGATCAGAAAGATTTAGGAAAAACTGAAATAGTAAAATCAAAATCACGACTCGGCTTATATATTATATTAGGTACATTTTACAAAAATCATGACTAGATATAAGAAGATGTGGTATGAGTGCCAATGCGACAAATATATAAGGCTTATTGTCTCGCCTTGACGTAGTCAAAAAGCGAGACATAGGTATGCTGTTTCCGGCGTCGGCGGTGGCGACCGCGACTGCAGCGGCGACGTCAACAATGTATTAGTTTGTGAATAGGTCTAGTTCATGGTGAACCACTAGTGGTAGGTCAATGATATTTGGTATGCAGTTGTATTAGCACATCTTATTACCATGGAGATTATTTGGCCCCGCTCCCTCAGTCAAGGTCTATTGACTTTGAAACTTTTCATAGTTTACATGTATTAGTTTGTGATTAGGTCAATTTATGGGGAACCACTAGTGGTAGGTCAATGATTTATGGTATGCAGTTGTATAAGCATTGGCATATCTCATTTCCATGGAGATTATTTGGCTCTGTCCCCTTAGCCATGGTCTATAGACTTTGAAAATTTTGCTAAGTTAATATGTATTAGTTTGTGATTAGGTCAGTTCAAGGGGAACCATTAGTGGTAGGCCAATGTTAATTGGTGTTCAGTTGTATAAGCATTAGCACATCTTATTTCCATGGAGAATATTTGGCCCCGCCCCATCAGTCATGGTCTATTGACTTTGAAACTTTTGCTTAGTTTACATATGTATTAGTTTGTGATTAGATCAGTTTAAGATGAACTGCTAATGTTAAGTCAATGATATTTGGTATGCAAATTTATTGGCATTGGCAAGTATCGTTTCCATAGAGATATTATATACTGTTGATACCCTTGGGGACAAAACAGACACCAGCAGTGGCATCGACCTAGTGGTTCTAATGACTCATCAAACTTAAGAAATTGGTTTGTGATATTCTAGTTTTTTTACTCAACTTTTACTAGACAAAGTATATAGTGTAAAAAGAAAATAGATGCAAGAACCAGACACATACTATCCTTCCCTAAACCAAAATTTGCAAGGTATTGACCCTTATATAATTTCAACAATGAAATGTGAGCTTTAAAAACTACATACAAGCTAGTATTGGTTTTATCTAAACTCAAATTAATGTCTCTTTCATTTACTCAATATCTACTCTTTAAACACAGAATTGATAATTCTTGCTTTGAATTGCGGTCTCATATGCATAAACCCAAACCTCAATTCCTAATTAACGCATGTCTGCAGTTAGTAAAAAACTAAATACGACGAGAAGTGTACTAATATAAAAAACTAAGCACTAAACTATTATTTATTCAAGAATATAAAAAAAATAGAAGTGAATGTGTGACTTACAGACACTTATCATATGCAAACATTGTGTGAAGTAATGACGTAGCAAAATTAAATTAGAATGGAATTTGCATTTTGACGTCAATGACCGTGTTTACAGAAATATAAACTACCCAATAGATTGAGCTGACAAAGTTCGTTATAAACTCGAATTAAATACATAATTTTAATCCAAATGAAAACCAATATTCACATGTGAAATAAATCGTATATTTTCACTACTTTGACCTTATACAACAATAAGTGAAATTGTATTGAAAATCTGTAGTAAAATAGAAAGAATAACCCTTTGAAGAATTTAAGTTTAAAAATATTCAACTTGCAACTGAACAACACTAATAATTCAACCATGCTCTACATGTATTCTTGAAGTTACAGAGTGTGGCCATACGTATTCGTCACTTTGGATTTTTCACTACATATTTCATATAAAATTACATTTAAAAAAAATTATTTTGGGGTCATTTCTTGTTTGATTTTAAGAAACTTGGTACAAATAGAAACAGAATTGTCACAGGTTTATATGTTTATTAGTCCCCTACAGACGAAGTCGAAGGGGACTTAAGGTTTGCACTCCGTCTGTCTGTCTGTCAGTCCAGCAAATCAGTTTTCCACACTATTTTTCTTCGTGCTTGAAGATATTGATTTGATATTTGGTATATTGTTTTATCATGACAAGTTACAGATCAAGTTCGAATTTTATTCTGGTCTGATAATTTTGATAATTTTGTGCAGAGTTATGGTCCTTGGACTTAGAAAATTCACTCAAATAATCAGTTTTCCACACTTTTTTACGTCATGCTTGAAGATATTGATTTGATAATTGGTATATAAGTTTATCATAAGTTACAGATCAAGTTCAAATTTTGTTCCGGTCAGATGATTTTTGTGCAGAGTTATGGTCCTTGGACTTAGAAAATTCACTTAAATCCACACTTTTTGTCATCATGCTTGAATATATTGACTTGATATTTGTTATATAGTTTTTACCATGACAAGTTATAGATCAAGATAGCATATTGTTCCAGTACAATTAATTTTTAACTGGTAGGGGACTATGTATTGCCATGCAATCCTCTCAGAATGCTTGTTTGGTTGTATTTTTGTTGTGGAGCATTTTCATTTTCTCATGACATAAACACAAATATTATTTTCTATTTAGAAATTTGCTATATATTTAAAGCAAATTAAATTGTAAAAAATCTTTCTATGTGTTCACATGAAGAGAAAACAAAAACAGCTGAAAACAGAACTATGACCAAATAAACAAATATTTTTTAGACAATACTGCGTCTTTCAACACCTTATTTGTAAAAATCCAACCATAAATGCCTTCAAAATATTTATTTTGAAAAAATGTGTTTTATATGAAATATATAGCAAAAAATTGTAAGTGACAAATACTTTTGGCCATTTAGTGTATGTATGAGGGGGTTGACAGGGGGGTAACCTTCTCCCACCTCCTGCCCCCTATCTCCCACCTCCCACTTTTAGAATCTTTTTTTGTCTCCCATCTGCCCCCCCCCCCCCCCCCCCCTCCAACCACATCCCACCTCCCTCAAAAGCTGTCCACCCCCTCATGTGTTGTTAGGTCGCTTATTGGATATTTTTTAACATGTGAAATCTTTAATAATTTATTCATTAAACAAACCTGCAGTTGCATTGATGTAACAAATTTTTGTTTTTTATTTACAGATAATGTAGTAAGAGTAAGAGATGTTGTTTTTAAATCCATTGGAGAAGACTGGGTCTTCTTGGCACTCCTGGGAGTACTTATGGCCTTACTTAGTTTTGCCATGGATTATATCATAGAAAAATGTCAAAGTGGTAAGATTTATAAAAGGGTTAGTGTCATCCCTAAAAAGTTACGGTCAGTATGGATACATCAAACACTCATGTTTTTTGTGGGTCTTACTAAGGGCTTCAACAATACATGTAAAACACATTTGGAAGAAATATTACATATTGCAAAACCATTAATCTAAATATGCAGAAAATAGTTTTTTTCCACAAAATTTGTGATGTTTGCATGAATTGAAACAAAAATTTGCCTCTGTTGGTATGATTGGTACATGTACTACATTTTGTAGCATGACAACTGAAAAACATTGAAAACTGACTTCTCAGGCAAACATTTTTTTGAGGAACACATAGTGCAAAAATCTGACCGGAAATCACTATCTTTGTTTAAGTTCATTTATCCTGCAATCAACCTTTCTACTATACAAATACAGGAGTACAGAAAACACAAGCGATAAATGTATACTATTCGTTTATGGTCTCCTGGTATCCTGCTTCTGTTGCGAGTTTTCAGTTCTATTCAAATTACTGTTAACATCACAATTCAATTTGGGGTCCTCATTGCGGTCCACGTTTTAATCTTATCGATTTCATTCAAAAAAACAAATTCAATGTTTGGGATGGAAAAAAACTACATTTAAACTCATTGTTAAATTCCAGGATAAAAACAATTTGGTACAGTGTAGGAAAATATAAAATTTATTTGATGAGCTTTAGAAACAGAGAAAAGGGGGAGGCTCACCAAGCTTTTCTCTTGTTTCATAGTAAGTCCAAATAAATTTTATATTTCTTACATTGTATGGATATGGTATATGTATAAGGTTGATAAAGGACACATAGTGCATGCACTTTAACGAAATTTTTTCTACCATATAAACTACAAAAGGAACTAGATAACCATTCATAACAGGACATGACTAAATAAATAGATTATAAACATTTCCTACCATGACAAATCATATATCATTTAGTGAAATCTGTAAAATAAATCGGTTTCCTATAAAAATATTTGTATATAATGAATTTATACATCTATTGGTTTCCTCTAAGGCCACAGGTCATTCATTTTTAGATTCTATATCAATTTTATCATTTTAACTGACTTAAGGCATGTACCATTTATCTCTTTGGTTTCTGGTCAAAATTTTTTTCGACTTTAACACAAATATTTTTTTTCAATAACATACAGAAAAAGAATTTTGATTTGAAACTCAATGTTTCATATATTTTTTTTCATAATTTTTAATCGAAACCGCCTTTTTTTTTTTCATCATTAGGAATCCATCATTAATTGTAAACTTAAAAAAAAAAAAAAAAAAACTCTTTACCTGTGAAACCACTGGGTAGGGCCACAATTGACTTTGATTGTCTAGTTTCAAAACTATGTGGTAGTCTATCTATCATCCGACTTGGCCACACTTACTAAAAATAGATATGAATAAAAAAAAGTTAAAAGATAAATCATGAAAAAGCATGTGAAGGTTATATAGCTGCCAAACTATTTGAAATTGATACTTTAGTGATTCCTTTCAAGAATTATGGTCGATTACAACTGCCTACATCCAACATCAAGTGTTACGAAAAAATAGAAAATTGGACAAAAGAGGCTAAGGAAGAATTCAGAAAAATCTTGTAGAGGGCCAATTTCAACCATACTTATTGTCAATGTTACATTTTTTATGTCCTCAAAGAATTATGGTTGATGACCTTAATCCTATCCAATATGGCTTCCATAATTAATATTGATAGCCAATTATTGAAATTAAAAAAAGAATATGAAAAAAAAATCTTTATTCTGAGATTCATTTATTTCCTTGGGTACCAATTTTCGTGCATTGAGGAAAAAATTGTATTGTCATGGATATTTGATGTCGTAGTTTTGGCAAATTCTCAATTCAAGCTTATAGACAATTTTTACTTTGTTATACATTGAAATTTGTGGTTCATCTATTCACACAAAATCCACAAAAATTGGTATCCAACAAATAGTAATGAATTCACAGTTAAGAAATTTTATGGAACTTACAAAAAAAAAAAAATATTGGAATGTTTATTTTATTTAAACAGTGGTTGACATTTGTTATGTCTATCACACTGATAAATAACGGTAAGAATAAGAAGGGGTGGAGTGGCACTCCATTTGTTATTTGCCATAATCTTACATGTTTATGGTGTTTTATTAGCTGAAATGTAAATTTAAATGTCAGTGCTATTTGTAGCCACAGGTTAAATAGACATGTAGAACAAAGTGTTAACATTATTAATGACTGTCAACTGACCCCTGTTTCTATGGGTGAAAATTTAATTTATAACCATGAAATTTTCATACATTATGTGTTTTAAATATAATAAAACATGTATTTGAAGTATGTTAATGAGAAGACCCTACAGAGACAAATGTAAAAAATTTGCAAATAAACAGTAGAAATATTAGACCTTGATGACCTCAGAAATGTCTTTCTTCTCTGTCTGCTATTCCATAGCAAAATATTAAAGTTTATGACCATTGATAGTTTCTATCAGTGCTTCTGTGCTCTTCTTCCAAATTAGATGAGGGGGGGGGGGGATTAGGACCTTTATCAGGACTTTGGGATCCGGTGTATTCAAGCTCTGGATTTCGGGATTGATCCTTTCGGGATCCGGGATTCCTTTTTTCGAATTACGGAATGTCTGGATTTGAATTTCTTTAAATTCGGGACCTCAGGATTTCATGTTTTTAAGCCCGGGATTTCGGGATCAGGACCCCTCCTACACCCCCTCTTAGATGTGGTAGACTTGATTCAATACCAAATGACCACGAGGTCATCTGTTTGACTGAAACATTTTCAATACTCCTCTGGAACAGTTTTATAGTCAAATGGAAAATGATTTGTCAGGCAAACAATAACGACCGGTGCTAGGGGCTGTCTTAAACTTGTAGTGATGTGAGAGTTTTTTTTGCTCCGTGTTGAAGGCCTCTCTGTGACTTTGAGATGAAGAACAGCAATAAAAGCGCTGTTCCTTTACTTTTTGTGTGTTTTTTTTTTTGCTGTGCATGTACTGATTTTGTGTCATGGATGGATACCCCATATCCTTTGTTTTTCTGTTCTTTACTATTTATTTTATAGATAAGATGTGGTTGTATAAAAACCCATCTTTTTATAACAGAGTATTTCTTAATACATAAAAAAATATAACAAGAATTAATTAAAGTGTGGGACAGTAAAACAGACCATTGCAGCTACCATTTTATGACTCTTCCAAGAAAAGATGTATAAAAGAAAACAAACAACTTGAGCGACACATGGTCCAATAAGGCAGAATTAGTACAAGCACACAATGTGATGGGGTTAAACAGAATTTATGTGTGCACATGTTTCCCATTTACTTATTTATTTATCTATTATCAAACCCCACTTTGGCAAGGGTTTTACTGCCGGTCAGAAAAAGACCAAATGACCATATGTCTATTCCACTGTCACCCTTGGGGGAAATCTATTTTTGGATTGATTTATTTTTATAACAATATTATATATCTATAAATATTTTATTGCTGAAATATGGCTTTACAACTCCAATTCAGCAAAGTTAACCTCTCCTTTTCAGCAGTATTTTGTCTGGATTTCATATTTGTTGATTTATTTGCAGCTAAGATGTGGCTGTATACAGAGTTGGCATTCTCTCTACCTCTACAGTATTTTGCCTGGATATCATACACAATATTATTTATATTATTTGCTACTGGATTCACACATTTAGTGTCCCCTCAAGCTGTGGGTAAGTTTATATTGTCATGGAAATACGGTAATGTAACTTTAATACAGTGAAACCCATCTACATTTAAAAATAAAAATAAGTTTAAACTATACACTGTGTTTAATCTTTATGCTCTGTCTAAGAAAGTGGTCACATCAAGTCATCAACTTGAAATTAAGTTAACATATTCATTATGATGCAAATTTTTAAAAAGAATATGTTAAATTATGGTCGCGACCCAGTTTCATGGTTCACTGAACATGGAAATACAATAGTGTGAGTGGGGCGTGGTGTTCTATAGACACTAACACTTGTTAAAAACTGAACCTGTGTAATGAAAGCTAAGTCCTCAGTCAGTCTACGTTCATTATCACTAAACTAGTATATATATTTGTTTAGGGGCCAGCTAAAGAACGCCTCCGGGTGCGGGAATTTCTCGCTACATTGAAGACCTGTTGGTGACCTTCTGCTGTTGTCTGTTCTATGGTCTGGTTGTTGTCTCTTTGACACATTCCCCATTTCCATTCTCAATTTTATATGGGTTTCATTTTATAAGTTTTATCATATTTTAGTATGGTTAGTAATTTTCTGATTAAAGATTGAACCTTGAGTTGTAGGTAATGCTTTTCTTGAAGCTACAGATTATTTATAAAAAGCGTTTTTGTTTCCTTGAAGTTTCCTTTGACAAAGTTAATGAAATAACTTATGCAACAAAGATTGTTCTAAGTTGAATTTATTGATTTTTTATTGTATTTGAAAAACATGTGCATTCACAACATATTGTCTTCACAGATGAATACTTTTTACATTTAAAGTCATATATTGGAACAATACAACCGTAATAGTGAAATAAAGGTTATTGAGAACTTCTTGTATATACTGAAAAATGAGCGTTAAAGAATTAAAATTGATTTAATTATGTATTACAGGTTTTTTTTAAGCCAATAAAAACATGTAATTTTTGTCGTTTTTTAGAACTTAATTTTATGGTCTTGTTACCCGTACAATCAGTGAACATACGTGTGTACTGGAATGGATAGATTATTTCCACATTTAATAGCATATCTGTAAAACATGTACTCTGAACAATTTTGTTATCCAACATTTAAAGTTTTTGATTTGAAAATGTGTAAGTCTTTGTTACATCACGTGTACAATTAACAGCATCTCAAATATCATTCACGTAAGACCAATTTCATTTCATTCCATGTTTAATGTCAGCAATCCTTGTAGGATTAAGAAAAATAATTTTTTAAAAGAAAAAAAACAACTTATTTTGAAAACAGGTACATTTTAATTAATTTATTTTGGAAATCAATCATACAAAAAGCTCTCTTTAGAGAAAAGTAATTTCATTGGAGTTGGAGATGCATTAAAATTATTTTACAAATCACCTCTGCATTTATTAATTTTCTTTCATCTGTACTTAAGCTTAGATGATTATTGCTGCAGGATGATCCCTAAGTTGTAATTGTTGTTTGAACATTTTATTTAATTTTCTTCCTTCTCTCCCAGGGTTTGCAATATTAATGATGTATTGCATATAGAATAAATATAAGATGGCCTTTACAGCAAAAATTATATATACTCAATTCAGTTTCCATGTAATTGCCAGAAGGTGATTTTATAAAGTAAAGAATTAATTGTTTATAAAGGTGTTAGAAGACAGGTTCATGGTAGTTATTATCATGTAAACTGTCTTACAATGTCTGTCGTAAATTGTCTATTTGGACATTTCTATGTTTAACATTTTAATTTCATTAACTTGCTAAGATCTTCATCCAGTTTCTTGTTTCATCAGAAAATTACATGACAATGCTTTATTCTTTACAGTCCACAAATAGATTTTGATAACATTATATTTTTATAGTGATAAATGGAGTCTGGTGCATGTACTTTTATTGGGTGTCTATAAGGTTTCATGGAGGGTGTCTATAAGGTTATAAGGTTTTAGGGAGGGTGTCTATAAGGTTATAAGGTTTTAGAGAGGGTGTCTATAAGGTTTCAGGGAGGGTGTCTATAAGGTTTAAGGGAGGGTGTCTATAAGGTTTTAGGGAGGGTGTCTATAAGGTTTCAGGGAATGTGTCTATAAGGTTTCAGGGGGAGGGAACTATTGGTATGACTATAACATTCACTATCTGTTAAATACCAAAAAGATCAATAAAAATTTAAAAAAAAACTTTCACTTGTTGCTTGTTATCAAATTCCATTATGAAAAAAACTTATAACAACCATATATTAATGAATTCACAGTCTGTGTAATAATGTTATTACAAACAACAGCACACAGTCTTACTCACATGATGTTCTATTAAACCTATTTCATTTTTTTATTTGAATGATTTTTGGGGTTGACTTTGGGATGACAAGGACATGGACTGTTTCATATATGCACACTATAGTATACATTTGTATTCCAATCTCTTCCTAAACCCTACTCATAATTAAACAAAACTTTCTCAGAACCTTTACCATATAATGCCACTGTGCACCTTCTATTTTGTATTTTGGTCTGAATTACTTTTGGGGATTGCCATTGTAAATGATAGACTTTATGAAAAGGATGAGCGGTATCATTTGGTGAGCCTTGCTTGCAGTTCGACTATTTTGCTTTAGTACTATAAACAAACAACCCTTGCGTACATCATTGGAACTACTGTACTTGATATGTTTTATGTGTTAATTTGTGGGTTAAGGTAAAGAGAGATTGTAAACTTAAAACCTATGAAGATGGATAAGTGTTTTTTGAGTCACTATTGTATTTCAATCATTATTTTGATGACAATTTATTACACATCACCGTCCAATGCATGAGGGTCTGGGTGGGGGTTTACAGAATGGAGAATATGAGGGTCTGGGTGGGGTTTACAGAATGGAGAATAATAGGCAAACAAAATAGACAAAAAGAGACAAATGGGAAAAACAATAATAAATAGAAAAAAATGACCAAAACAATTAAAGAAATGAAGAGTTGTGAATCTTGGCAATCATACCACATCTTCTTATATTTAAGTCATAATCCAGACCTTACAAATCGGTAATATGTGTCACTTAGGACAAAGAAAATCTCCGTGTGAGACATTATGTAAGGTGAACATCTCTGAGGATATTCACTTTTTGATTCTTAAACAAATTTAGACAGATCATAATAACTTAGACCATAAAAAAAGTCACAAATACCATAATACCAAAATTAATTACTGTTAAACACATTATGTTTATTTTATACACCACTTTTATTGAGATAGATAAATACAAGATATTCTGAATATTATATTATATCATCTCATACAACATAGAAATAGCAAGATCAGATATTTTCCAATACAGATTTTGCCAAGGTTTGATATTTTCCCTTTTCTAACGGAATCAACAATTTTTTCTCATTTTTTTTTTAGGATCTGGTATACCAGAAATGAAGACTATTTTACGTGGAGTTGTTCTTAAAGAATTTTTAACATTTAAAACACTTATTGCCAAAGTTGTAGGACTTTGTGCTTCATTAGGAAGTACTTTAACTTTAGGGAAAGAGGTAAGAAAAAATATGGTATAAAAATTGCCTAATATCTTATGAATCCTACATATTAATTGGAAAGTTGACTGAACTAAACTTTTTTTAAAGGCCTTACAGTCATATAAAAAAAAAAACATCTAAAAATCCTCATAAAAACTGAGACATTAGGTTTAGAAAGATTGCACTGTACTTAAAACTGGATTATATTTTCAGTAGGTAATATCACACCTATAATCAGGATGGGAACATACATGAATTTAAATCCAGCATGTACAGTTTTGAACACATTTAACCAGATTTTATAAGTCACAAGATTTACTTTTTGTAGATGTCTTGTCCCATTCAGTATTATCAAAAAAAAAAAGCTGTTTTATTTCCACAAAATTATTACAATTTTACTCATGTATTGAACACTCTACAGTAACTGTTTCATCTATCAAAAAAGAAATTATTTATGAAATGTCATTTCAGTTGGTTTAAAAAAAAAACAAGAAAATTGACAGTTTTTTAAAATTCAATTGCAACTAATTACCAACTGACAAAGCTAAAATTGTCACACAGAAGAACATTCATGTTTATGTTAGATTGTATACAACAAAGTTAGAACAGAACAACAGAACAACATTGAATGCTTAGGTGCTTAGTTCATATAGCTTGTAATCTGGTTAGCGACCTCCAAGTAAGAATGGACTGAGACTGATTAAAATGAACATTAGACATGTTTTCAAGTGTAGGACACATGCTCTATACAGCTTCTAGCTTGCATTGCAATCACAAATTAAGAATCAACAAAATTGTCCACTTTGACTGCTTGACCACTCAACACCTTTTGCTGTAATTTCATAAAAATTTTGCAATCACATTAATTATATTATGCATTTTTTCCATTGGTCAAGAGTTTGCAATGATAAACGCATGCATTAATTTCTAAATTTACAGTATATTAAATATATTTCACAATTCATATATATATATATGTATAAGATTCTATGTTTTACAGGGTCCATTTGTACATATAGCCAGTATTGTAGCTACCTTGTTGGGGAAACTTTCATCATTTAAAGGGGTTTATCAGGTAAGTTTATTCAGGTAGGTCCATAATTTAGGTCATTCAATACTCTAAATCAAATTATTTTCACAAATATTTTTTATGACTTTTCCCCCTGTCTAGCTGACTTTACAGCAATTTGTTTTTGACATTTTTATGCCCCCCACCGCAGCGAAGGGGGCATTAAGTGTTACCCTTGTCCGTCTGTACGTCCATCCATCCGTATGAACATACATCCCGAAATTGGATTCCGTTCTCTAACTTTAGTATGCCTCAACCAAATGTTATGAAACTTATTCACAATACTTATTGCCACAAAACACAGGTAAAGTTTGAATTTGGGTAGCGTCACTTTTACCATTCTAGAGTTATGCCCCTTTACAAATGGAAAAATTGGTGAACTTAACTATATCACACTCCTATGTTTCTTTGTAAACAAATCCATGTTCGAATAACATACTTGAAGTCACAATTGAAGTTCAAATAGACATTTCTGCATGAGTTGCTTGTAAAGAAATTGAATAAAATCTTTTAGAATATAAATCTTTTTGTATTTGTACAACTTTTAATTGTAAAACCATTGTTTATCTAGAGTTTTTTTTGCTTCATTAAATAAAAATAGCTGCCGTTATAACATGCCTTATAGGTCAGCTTCAAACAAAACAAGTTCTGAATTTTCCTATTAGAATTAACTTTTCATATTATTACCTATGCTCATTTTGGTATGGGGAGGGATGAAATTTGTCGCTATTGCTCAATATAATGATATTTAAAAATTAATACAATGCCTAACCATGTTTAAAATGAACAAAGAGCATGACATTGACAAATATGTAATTATAAGATTTTCTTTTTGGTAAGTAGTCTATTTTGTCTATTTTAGAATGAATCCAGAAGAACAGAAATGTTAGCTGCTGCCTGTGCTGTTGGGGTTGCAGGCACTTTCGCTGCTCCTATTGGAGGTAAATTTTATAATTGTTTTACCTTTTGACTCTGTATTGCATCTTTGCCTGTCATTCATAGGATGCAGAGTTATATCTTGATGCAACAATAAAAAGATAAAAATAAATAGCTTTCACCATGAACATTATACTTTGGATTCATCAAGAATATTTTTTCTTGTGTGTAATTATATTTTATTGGTTATATTATTCACACATCAGTTGAAACATTGAGAGTTTTCTGCCAGGGAGAAAGATGTTAGTTTTAATATTTTATCAGATTAAAAACACCTGTTTTGTTGTATTAAATTTGTTCTTTAAGAATCAGTTATTACTTACAGTGCATGTTTGTTTCAAGATGAGAGGTCTTGTAATGAAGGTCACTGCATATGGGAAAATATCTGTGAATTAGTGTACGGGGAGACAATAATTCATAAGCAGTACATTTATGAAGATTTTGATGATATAAAGGTTTTTGTCTCGCCTTGACGGAGTTAAAAAGCGAGACATAGGTATGCTTTTTCCAGTGGCAGCATCAACAATGTATTAGTTTGTGATTAGGTCTAGCTTAAGGTGAACCACTAGTGGTTGGTCAATGATATTTGGTATGCAGTTGTATTAGCACTGGCACATCTCATTTCCATGGAGATTATTTGGCCCTGCCCCCTCTGTCATGGTCTATTGACTTTGGAACTTTTGCTTAGTTTACATGTATTAGTTTGTGATTAGGTCAGTTTATGGGGAACCACTAGTGGTAAGTCAATGATATTTGGTATGCAGTTGTATAAGCATTTGCATATCTCATTTCCATGGAGAATAATTGGTCCCGCCCCTCGAGACATGGTCTATTGACTTTGAAACTTTTGCTTAGTTTACATGTATTAGTTTGTGATTAGATCAGTTTAAGATGAACTGCTAATGTTAAGTCAATGATATTTGGTATGCCAATTTTTATTTGCATTTGCAATTATCGTTTCCATGGAGATTATATAGCCCCACCCCCTCATCATGGTTCATTGACTTTGAAACTTTTACATAGTTTACAAGTCAATGTTTGTGTTTAGGTTTGTTGAAAGGGAAGGACTTATGATAAGTCTATGGTATTTGGTATGCAGTTGTATTAGCATTGGCACATCTCATTTCCATGGAGATTGTTTTGCCATGTACCTTCAGTCATGGTTCATTGACTTTGAATATTTGCATAACTTACATGTTAAAGTATTGTTATTTTAATTTCAACAAAGGCGAGACATATCTCTGTGTCAACAGTTTATTTTATGAAAAAGTTCATGTAAGCTTGTTTTAGAGTAATAGTTAGCCATTCAAGTATATAAAACATATTCAACTTTTTTTAAATTTGAAGTTTCATGTGACTTTAAAGAAACACATCTTGCATATACAAATCTTCCTATCCCATTGATTGCAGGGTAAAAACATACATATTGTTCCATGTGAAATTTGTAATATTTGAATTTTTAGGAGTATTATTTAGTATAGAAGTCACAGCAACCTACTTTGCAGTGAGGAATTATTGGAGGGGATTTTTTGCAGCAGTATGTGGGGCCATTACATTCAGATTGCTGGCAATCTGGTTTCAACATGAAGGTATGTTTATATTTTACTCTTTTTATATGCCCTCCATAGTTAGGAGGTATTATGGTACATTGTTGTCTGTGACTGTCCACACATTGTTCAAACACTAGAGAATGCTTTGATAAAATTTAATGAAATTTAAATTGAATATTTCAATTATTAGAAAAATGAATGCACCCTTTAGCTTTTGAAATATCTTTGGTTTGTTGTTCCAGAGTAATGGGACTTAAACTGTCAACTTTGATCCAATTTTTCACATTTCAAGCACTAACTTGACTATGCTTGGATTGATTTACTTGAAGCTTTACACTGTGTTTTAAATTATTGAAAGTAACTCCCTTTCAATGTTGAAAACAAATCTGATTTGTTATTTTAGAGTTTTAGACTTTAACCATTTGATTTTAGACAATTTTGCACATGGCACATTAACTCTAATATGCTAGGATCAGTTTACATATGACTTCATATTGTTTTGAGATTGTTGAAAGTAAGCTCCCTTTTGATTTGAAATTTTTATTCAAAGTTATGGATTTTAATCAAAAGATTTATAAAGTGTTTCATTTTTTCCAATCACTATGTCTGTTTGTTGTCCAACAAATATTTCTGTCACAGTTTTCTCAGGAACTTCTGAACAGAATGACTTCATATTTGGTCAGCAGCTTGGCAGTGTTTAGTTTTTATGTTTGATTGCTTTTTGAATCTGTCAAACACTTTCTTCCTGTATGTAGATACTTTGAATTTTTCAATATACGTTATATGAATGCTGATGTTTTCATCACATTTTATCAGCATCTTTACATTGATGAATTGTAACTTATGAGTGCTTTTTGGATAAGTCAGACACCAACTTCCTGATTTCTGATACTTTGAATTATAAATATAAGAGTCCGGTGAATTCATTTATTTTTGTGGATACCAATTTGCATGAAAAAACTTTTCATGGATATTTAATTTCATGGTTTTGCAAAATGTGTTCACAAGCCTTTGGAAAATGTGAAATTTGTTAATCATTTGAATTAGTAGTTTAACTATATCCACAAAATCCACAAAAAATGGTATTCCACAATTAAAATGAGTCCAAATTCTTGTTTTTATTTTACTGTATTTTTTATTACTTCCAGAAACTATCACAGCTTTATTTAAGACCAATTTAAGAACAGAGTACCCATTTGATGCCTTAGAACTGGTGGCATACAGTTTTATAGGGTAAGATACATAGAATGTTTAAATTTATAACTATTTCAGTTTGAAGCTTGCAAGACTCAATCCTGATGAATGCAGATAGTATATACTCTATATGAAAATAAGAAGATGTGGTATGATTGCCAATGAGACAACTCTCCACCAGAGAACAAATTATTTGAAAATTTAGCAGCTATAGATCACTGTACTGCCTTCAACAATGAGCAAAACCCTTACCTGATAGTAAGTTATAAAAGGCCCCGAAATGTCAAATGTAAAACAATTCAAACGAGAAAAAAACAGCCTGATTTATGTACAAAATAATAAAGGAAAAAGAAATATGATGAACAGCAACAAATGACAACCACAGAATTACAGGCTCCTGATTTGGGACAGGCACATACAGAATGTGGCAATGAATACCAAGCAGTTTATCTCCATAACTTTTACAATTATCTATTGAGGAATTTTTTAGGCAATGCTTAGTTCATATTGCAAATTTCACCTTCTAAATTTATCTATTTTACTTTGAATAAGTACAAAATATGTTCAGATAAAAATCATTTTTACAAAGTTATTAAAACATTTTGATTAATTTTTATATTGTAGAGTGATATGTGGGTTTGCAGGTGCCTTATTTATATTGTTACATAGAAAAATTATTTTGTTTACAAGAAAAAGAAGAAGACTTACTAATTTTTTACAGAAAAAGTAAGTGCAATTAATTATCAAGCTGTGAATGTATGCAAGAAAAATTATTCAGGATTTAAGTTTGAGGAAGGGGTTCAAATTTCAATTTTTACCTGTATGAATTATATATGATAATAGTGGCATTTTAGTTGAGCTAAGTATTATTAAAACTATAAATATCTTATCAAGAGGGGCAGAAGGACCCTTTTCAGGATATGGGGATTGAGTCATTTAATTCGAGGAATAGCCAGTTAAATCTTTTGAAATTTTGGATTTAATAACATGGTGATGCTGGAAAAGGACACATTGTTTTCATAGGAATTCGGAATTTGGCTTTTATTTTCTCCGGAATTTGAGATGAGACCCCTTAATACAACCCCCCTTTATGAAAAATTGATGCCTAGAAATTCTTAAACATTCCTTTACCTATGAGATAAAAATAATGAAGATTGGGATATTTTTTCTAAGAAAATGGGGCAAGCCACTTGAAATTGTAAACAAACACCTTTTCTAGTATTTATTATAGTAATAAAATAACAATATAAAACTATCTATTACAAATAAATGTATAAAAATAAATGCAACACTTCATAAATCTATTGTTAATACATGGCTTGCAGAGATTGGTTTACCAGTAGCAACATAATAACGACATTGTAATCTCCGGTAATCATTTACTTGTTGTAGGGTCAAAGATTTGACCTGTAATTCAAACTGATGAATGATAAATTGGTACTGATTCATTTGCAAGTCATTTGCTGTTTCTGATTTTTTGTGAACAGTTAATAGTTCACGGATACATGTGATATACATGTATCTCTACCTATGTTATTTTTTTTCCAAACAAACATTTCATCACAGTTATGAGACATATAGCAATGTTCCATTGCACTGGTATGTTCCAAATTTTGACCTTGTGACCGTAACTGGATCTGGGTTATGATTAATAAATATGCTACTTTTATAGAAATTTAAACTTTGGTTGAATTTTGGTGTTTGTTTTTTTTCCACTAGTCTACCTTTTATTTATAATGTTTTCTAAATTAAATCCCACTTTGTTGCTTCTGTACAGGTTAAGAAAAAACATTTTTTAACTTTTTAGTTGTTTTGATCAGGAAGACAATTATAAACATTGTGTCAATGGTGAGTGATACAAATTCCTTTTAATTTTTACTTTTGAAATTTATCTTGATTCACAGGTTCAGGGAATGGATATATTCAATTTACTGAAAATCCAGGTATTAATGTATGAATTTACTAATGCAAATCATCAAAAGTTAACTGAAATGTGAAAATAAGCAATCGCCCATAGATATCTTCTGCTTCTTTTTTTATTAATGTGATTCAAATAGATTCTTATTGAAATATGCATCATTTGAATGAAAGTTAGTTTATAAATATGCCATCTGAGATTTTTTTTCCATTCATAAAAAACATTTATTTCGAAAAATTACAGTATTTGTATGCACCTGATTTCATTGGTTTAATTAATTTGAAGCTTATAATTGAAATGATAGTGATTTTATGACTAATATTATGCAGATATTATTTTCTTCATTGTAGTTGTTAGAGGTTTATGAAACTATATGTTAACTTTCTTGCTCAGAAGAATATGCTTAGAATGATATAAATTGTGTATATTTATTATAGATAGTTTTCTTTATTTTTCAGTCGTTTCATTTACCCAGGAATGGTTGCCTTTGTTATATCATCTTTAACATTCCCTCCAGGTTTTGGCCAGTTCTTTGCTGGCATGGTAAGTTTTTTTTTTGTTTCTGGAATATTTGTCACATTGAAAATCCTCATTTTTTTTAATTATGTTTGAACAAAACAAAAATATAGCAAGTGACAAAACAAATAGAAACATTGTGAAAATCCATAATTTATTTATTCTTGATTGAAAGTATTTACACCAAAAGCAGAAAAAAAAAATTGAAAATCAAGTTAAAACAATTATAAAAGATGTTTTTTTCTCTTCATAAACATGACTTAAAAAATGATTTATGGTGTGATTACCTAAAAGATAACAAATAAGTAATATCTAACTATTCAAGAATTTACATTGAGAAGACCTAGAAGGTCTTAACATAAAAAAAATAAATTGAAAAGTCTAAAACTTCAGAAAAACAATTGTGAAGTCAAAAAAGAGACACAGTACACCACATGTTCCTGGTTTGCAACAGGCACATTGCAGTACCAGTAGACAGAAGGTCATACAAAAGTCGTTTGTCTTCCTTTCTTTCAATGTGTGGGAAGGAGAGGCAGCAGTGTTATTTAGACACTATTGTCAACACTCAATGTTAAGTCCTTTAATTTGATGCATATCAAAATGAGTTTTTGTGTTAGACCATTGATATAAGACAAACAGCTGTGTTTTTATTTGTTTATTTCAGTTGAAATATGCATGAAAGATCATGCCCCTTCTGCCATACATAAATGACTAGATACATCTTTTCATTTTTTTTATTCAGTGTGGTTTTTTCTTTTAGACTAAATAAATTTATTTTAATTGAATATTGTACATTCTATTTTTATCTTTATCATTTCAGTTGACCAATAAACAAGCAATCAACGAATTATTTAGTAATATAACTTGGACAATAGGTCAAGCAGATGACCTTGAAGATGAGAAGATCTTAAGTCATTGGATACATCCTGATACTAATGTCTATGTTACTCTTGTTTTGTTTATAATCATGCATGTGAGTATACTTCTCTATTTGTCTTCACATACAATCACTTGTCTAACTAGCTTTGTCTGTATGAAATTGTAAAATATAGTTAACTGTTTGCTTATATGCATCGCTTCCATTTGCCAATAAAAACTGACCGCCACATTTAGCCAATAGTGCTGAAAGTGGCGTTAAACACTAATCAATCAATCAAACAAACATGAGATATTCTAAGGAAAGTCATCTTGGTGTTAGGTAATAACAAATATAGCATACTTGAATTTAAATTTATGTTCTTGTAAACAATTTGCATCAAGATTTTTAACAATTTTTCTATTTTACCGTGTCTTTTTTAAAGCTATTTCAATGGTCATAACCTCACCATAAAAGTATACTGGCATATGGTTTATTGTTTCGGAAATATAGATTGCATGCCAAAATTAACAAGATAATTTACCGCAGTGTATGTCTATAAGAAATTTAGCTCTTGTTCAGGACTACTTCAATACATTGCATTTAAACTAGATTTTGCATGAACTTTAGGATGAAAACATCATATTTTATTTTTATAGCTACAGGCAACTGCTGATTTTCTTGCAGCTTCTTTCATTATGTGTTTCAATAAATTTGCAGTGTGTTTGCTCACTTGTTGTTATGTTACCGATACTTGTGTCACTGTGACCTATATTTATTTTACTTTCAGTTTTTGTTTGGTGCTATATGTAATACTCTGCCTATTCCTGCTGGTGTGTTTGTACCGGTGTTTATGGTTGGTAGGTACCTTCCCGAAACAAATTATTAACTTACGTTGAAATAAGAACACATTGTATTATTCAAAGGGTATCATTTTTGTTTTGCCTTAAGAATCACAGAGGCAAGACTTATGTGTGCAGGCGTTTTAGGCAGCGTCAACAAATTGTTAAAGTTTGTGATGAGGTCAATATAAAAGAAACCACTAATCTTGAGTCTATGCTATTTGGTATGCAATTGTATTAGTATTAGCATATCTCATTTCAAAGGAGATTTTCAGGTCATGCCCATACAGTCATTATCCATTGAATTTGAAGCTTTTGCCTAGTTTACATGTTAAATTTTCGCTATAATTTAGAATGAAAATGAACATTCTGCAGTCAATTGGTGTTCAGCAAAATAAAAAAAAGTTGAAGTTAAACATGCAAAAATGTAAAGAAAAGATAAGCAACATAAGTATTAAGTATTTTTAAAGTTTTATGATTTGAATTGTATCTTTTACAGGAGCAGGTTTTGGTAGGTTAATTGGAGAAGCCATGGCAGCCTGGTTTCCTCTAGGGTTAGCTGCTGCTGGACTGGTACATAAAATTGTACCAGGAGGTTATGCAATAACAGGAGCAGCTTCTTTGGCAGGCAGTGTTACTAGAACCATATCTACATCTGTGATAGTATTTGAACTGACAGGACAAATCAGTCATGTTCTACCTGTTGTTGTAAGTATTATTTACCCCCCCCCCCCTTTTTCTTTTTTTCTTATAAGATGGATCATTTGAATAATGGGATAGAATTGTTGTAACTATTATTTTAAATGCCTTTCTTTTCTCATTAGATAAGACCATATCAATGATGTGAGATAATGATGTTGTAAGTATTATTTTAAACCACCCTTTATTCTCATTAGATAAGACCACATCAATAATGAAAGAGAATATGAACTGACAGGTCAAATCAGTCATCTTTTCCTAGTTTTTGTATGTATTATTATACTTCATTCTGAAGATAAGGGTATACTGGTTTACCTCAATCTGTTTGTCAGTTCCATAACATTTTCTTTTTTCAGGAACTACAAATCTGAGCTTCCTGAAATTGAGCAGCATTCAAAGGGTATCTACACGTCTCAATCTTCAAAATCGCTTATCTAAAAATACTACCATCGCTAACATTTTTAACAATAAAAATCGTGGATACCCTTCTATCGATAAGTGTCATGCCAAAAAATGACTTACATGTCCCCGTCTTTCCACCAACAATACGGTAAGGTCCACGTTTAATGGTCGCACATTTTCTTTAAATTTTGAAACTGATATAACAGTAAAAACAAACCGGGATGCGGTATTCAGTACGTAGGTGAAACTGGACGATATTTATCTAAACGCACTCAAGAACATCTGTATCGTTTTAAAAGACCCAATAAATTCAAAAGTATCATTTATCAACACCTTAAGAAGCACAATCATCCTATTAAATATTTAGCAGTTCAACCTTTAGAAGTAGTAAATAAGCAGCCTGGTGAATCTCATTCAAAGTTTGTACGATCACGGAAAATAATTGAATTACATTGGATTAAAAAATTACAGACAGTCTACCCTCTCGGTCTTAATGATAATATCATGGGAATTGGTAATATATCAAGAACCGATTCTGTTAACATTTTGGATATAGTTTCTAAAACTGTTCGTAAAAACCGTTCTCATGGTCGTAGAAAAAATCGCAATCAAAGAAAATTTCGGACCAATCATACCAATATTTCGGACCTAATTTCTATTTCAAAAAACAACGGCAGTCATTATCTGTTAACAAAGCTCTGTTCATTACCGGTTAATAAGTTAAAGAAAATTTTAGGGGATTGCAACACAATTTCATATAGCAGTCCTAAGTATGAAATCGTTCAAATTATAATGGCATATTGTTACTCTAAACTGTTTCCCAAAATTGATCGCCCTGAAGATCATAAAAAACAGTTTATTAAAATAAAGTATGTCAATAAAGGTTTTGATTTTGTAAATATTGCTGGTATTTTTAACGACCATTCTGTTAAAGAACAAATTCTGGGATATTTTGATAAGACTGAGCTCCCTCTTATTTGTTATATTTACAAGAAATCTACCCGGAAATTTGTGTTTAATTATAGCCAATTGTGTAAAGATATTAATATCAGTGAAAATACACCTACTTCATGTAATTGCAGTAATTCCGAATACATTTATGCACCCATTTCCCATGTTATAACAGGAGATCTTAACATCGTTCAAGACCGAGAGTTAAAATCATTCCTCAGTAAAGGACCTAAATATCGTCCCCCGTCAATTATTAATTGGAATGAGTGTCGTAATATCATTTACGACTCACTCCATACTTACTGTTTGAAATGGATAAAACGGGAAAAAGCTGACAAAAAATCTTTGGACTCTTTTTTTAATTCAGTAATGAACATAGTTGATATACGTATTCAACATTTTAAAGAACATTTTACTCTTAACAATAACCACAATAAACCTATTTCTTGAATCAAACATAAACTAAAAGAACTAGCCAAGGAATTTGTTTTTGTCCCGGCCGATAAAGCTGCTAATAATATTATTATTGTTTGACATAAATTTTACATTGAGGTTCTGAAAAAAGAAATCACCAATTCACCAACATTCCAACTGACTCCATTTTCAGAAAACGACATCTGTAACAAACATAAACTTTTAGCTACCGCTTTACAAGCAGAACCAAATACAATGAAAGTCCCAACTATGTATTGGTTTCCGAAGCTACACAAAACACCTTACAAATATAGATTTAGTTTGTCTTCAAGCCATTGTTCCACTACTAAATTGTCTATTCTTCTTTCCAGTACACTTGGTACAATCAAAAACCTGATAATAAATTGTTCAAATAAGACCTTCGAAAATAGTGGAATTAATTACTTTTGGAGTGTCAAGAACTCGTTGGAAGTACTTGATAAATTACATGCATATATTGGTGATTTTGAATCTGTTCAAAGTTTTGATTTTTCTACCCTATATACCACATTGCCTCACATTCTCATTAAGAAAAAATTCACACACCTAATTAAATGGGCATTTAAAAAGTCAGAATGTGAATATATATGTTCAAACTCTTTTAGGTCATTTTTTAGTAGCAATAAACAAAAAAACTATGTCAATTGGACATGCTTTGATACTATATATGCCCTTGAATTTTTACTAGATAACATTTTTGTTCGCTTTGGAGATTCTGTATATCGTCAGGTTATCGGAATTCCAATGGGGACTAACTGTGGACCACTTATTGCGGACCTTTTTTTGTATTGCTATGAGTTACAATGTATGACAAAAATCAGCAAAGACCCATCGAAACAACATCTGATACACAAATTTAATAATACTTTTAGATATTTGGATGATATTTTGGCTCTCAATAATGACGACTTCAGTATGTATACTAAAGAAATTTATCCTGTTGAACTTACTTTAAATAAAGCTAATACTAACAATGACCACTGCCCTTTCCTCGATCTTGATATCTATATCATTAATGGAAAGCTTAATACTAAAATATATGATAAAAGAGATGATTTTTCATTTCCTATCGTTAATTATCCATTTTTAGATGGTGACGTTCCCTTGTCACCATCTTACGGTGTTTATATATCTCAACTTGTACGATTCGCTCGTGTATGTAACAATGTTTTAGATTTTAACGAGAGAAATTTATGTATTACGGAAAAATTATTACACCAGGGTTTTCGATATCACAAACTAGTCAAAACATTTACTAAATTTTATCATCGGTATAAGGACATCATTCGTAAATATAGCTCAACATGCAGACTTCTTATACGTTCAGGTATTTCATCCAATTTTTTATGGAAATATTCTTTATAAAGCACAAAAATATCAGTATTCACCTCTGAAGCTAACAAAACCTTTAAATAGACTTATTAAGAAGGGATATAGTTACGATACTGTTGTCAGGTCATTAAAGATTGCATATTTTGGCGTTAATATTGATTCACTTATAGGGTCTTTGCATCTGCACTAAACACATTTATTTAAAAACCAGTTGTTGGCATGACACGGGTTATGTTCTTCTCATATATGTTATGATGGTATGATACTAAACCCCTAACGGGAAGGATTGTGCCTGATATTCATATGATGAAGACATAATCTTTCAATCAGTTTAATTGAAGTCTGGAGCTGGCATGTCAGTTAACTGCTAGTAGTCTGTTGTTATTTATGTATTATTGTCATTTTGTTTATTTTCTTTGGTTACATCTTCTGACATCAGACTCGGACTTTTCTTGAACTGAATTTTAATGTGCGTATTGTTATGCATTTACTTTTCTACATTGGCTAGAGGTATAGGGGGAGGGTTGAGATCTCATAAACATGTTTAACCCCGCCACATTTTTGCGCCTGTCCCAAGTCAGGAGCCTCTAGCCTTTGTTAGTCTTGTATTATTTTTAATTTTAGTTTCTTGTGTACAATTTGGAGTTTAGTATGGCGTTCATTATCACTGAACTAGTATATATATTTGTTTAGGGGCCAGCTGAAGGACGCCTCCGGGTGCGGGAATTTCTCGCTGCATTGAAGACCTGTTGGTGACCTTCTGCTGTTGTCTGTTCTATGGTCGGGTTGTTGTCTCTTTGACACATTCCCCATTTCCATTCTCAATTTTATACCATGTAATGTATTTTCACATTCATCGCCATACATCCACTTCCTGTTTACCTAATACTTTGGTTATTCTTACCCATATTGGCCATAAGTGAATTAAAAACTACGTTGGTCACACTATTTTTTTAAAATTCTATTAGAAATTTAAAACTAATATATTTTCTCTTTTCATTTGTCTTTCTTTTATCTAAAATCCTGTGGTGAAATAGCTGTCTGCATTAAACATTGTCTTGTGATATCTATTTTCTGCTTTCAGGTTTCTGTATTAATAGCCAATGCTGTGTCAAACAAATTACAGCCATCATTTTTTGATAGTATCATACGTTTGAAGAAGCTACCATATCTCCCTGATATTGTATCAGCTAAAGGGAAGTAAGTACACTTAAATTTCAATACTTTGAATTATTGTATTTTATTTCTTAAATCTGAGAAAACAGATGAAAGAATCTCTGAGAAAATTCCAAATAAAATCAAGAAAAATATGTCTGACAGCTTGCTAACAAGTCAGTCATTTTTATGAAGTATTTAAAAGCTTCACAGTTTGAGTTTTGTGTTGTTCCAATATCATTTCAAGAATCAGAATGGCATTGAATCCTCTGATAGAATGCTTAAAATGCAGCTTCTGTTACTATTTTCTGTGTTAACAACATATCTTTTTCTTCTTATGCTAAAATGCAACAATAGAATTTTTTTTTTTTTGTCTAGGATTTCATTAGAGTGAGAATGAAAGGAAAGCTTATCTACATAGTTCAATTTAAAACAAAAAGTAATGTCGTAGTTTGTAAATTAAATTTTGTTCAGGGATTAGATACGCACTATTAAATATTTCAATAATCATACACAGGTATAGCTCTGCTAGAACTTCTTTTGTCTGATATTTAGAACAGGTCTAACAGGCATCCAGTTGACTCAGTAATGTCACATCTAGTTTCGCATATTAAATTGAAGGCACATGTTAGAATAAAGCCACTCGCTATATTTGTTATCTTGGCAAGCTTCTTATAACATACTGTCTTGTTTTAGTGGCAGTGAAAAGTATTCCTCTTATTCCTTCTTCTCAGAGTCCACAAATTTTTAGTTTCTACTAATTCATGTTTCATTAATTTGTTTTTGGAATGAATATGCATGAAATGTTAGACTGTGGAAGTAGATAAACCAAAAATCAATATAATAATAATCACAAACAATGAAAGATGTTACAACCAGAAGACTTTTATTGAATCAAAATCTCTATTTAGCAGTTCATTGTTTACCTAGAACCCAGTTTTCCATACATGTAATGTCAAGCAAATATTCTGAAACTAATGGAAGCCTTAGGATCAAAATGTCTTCAATTGTGTATGGTTATTAAAAGATACACTAGAAACAGAGCTATGAAGTTGAAGTTAATATATATTGAAAAATCAAACAGAAGACAATATTTCATTGTTTTATTGATAAAGCATAAATCTATGCAATTCCCTAACCACCAATTTACCCAATAAAAAAGGCTTATCACAAAAGGCTTAGATTGGTATATGATATAATATTTTAATTTTTTTTATGTTCAAAGTGGTGATACTTTGAAATTTTTGTCAATAACTTTGATCATGTTTAATCTCAGAAAAGTTACATTAAGCAAGTTATTAAGCCGGATTAATATTGATTCCAAACACCTAACAGTATTTTGAATAGCTCTAGAAAAAACTCAGATTAAAATGAGCAGTTGCAAAAAAATATTTAAATGCATGTACAATCAGATTTTGCATCAGTGTAAATTAACATTATTTAAATACGTAGATTTTGCACAAGAACAAGAGGCCTCCTGAAGAAAAGGTATTGGTGAAATGTTTGAATCACTGTCAGAGAGTTCAGTGAAAATTTCATGATTAAAACTACACACATATAAACACTTATTTTTATATGTGCAATTCCAATTCATGCACATTCTACTGAACTCCTGCTAATAATGCTGTTTGTATTACTCCATTGATTTGACCTGACTGGGAATGGCTTAGATGTGTATTTGTAAGATAATATTTTTAGATATATTGAGGGCTGCTTTCTTGGCATAATTTTTAATGCTACAAAATATGATGAAATGTTTGAAAATAAGAGTTAAATCCTTGGTATCGCAATTTTGATTGAACACTTGTGAGTAATTATCATAGAATATCCATCTTAAATAAAGGCCCAAATGTATGTAATTATTGTTAAGTCATATCTGGTCAGGTACAATTTATTAAATAATATTAATTGCAGTGTGACTCATGCATTTGTTCAAACATTTATTGGCTACTAACTTGCTTTTCATTGCTGTGTGTGTATTTTGACATCAATTTAGAAACTTCTCATTAATATTTTCACAAGTAGAAATCTTGCAGAGTGAACACTGATTTTGATTACTTTATTAACAACACTTGTTTTTTTGTAATCTTTCTTAGTACAATATTATGTTACATTTGGAGATCCAACAGAGATGATTTGATTTGATTTTGATTTTTGGTGTTTTAAGGCTACTTTTAAGCACCGCTTTTGGGCTATTTCGTGGCGGCCAGTTTTTATTGGTGGAGGTAGCCGGAGTGCCTGGAGAAAACCACCGACCTTCTATAGGAAAACTGACAATCCTAGTCAATTAAGATTGGAGTCGAGTGCACCCGCAACCTCAATGTTGACTGGCTAGTGATTACAGTAGTAACTACTTAGACCACTCGGCCACCGAGGCCCCCCATCAGAGATGAAGTGGAAGCAATAGAATATGAATTAGATTACCATACCTTTTGATATTTGTACAAGTTATATGGTCCGTGAACACAGTTATTGTCCATTGATTTTCGTTGTCTACAATTCTCCCTAGTGAGGACAGTGTATAACTTTCAATTTTTTTTCATACACCTTCCATATTTATTTCTTCATATCTTATGCATAAAAAAGTAAGTAGGGGGGTGAAATTACATGAAAAAAAATGGGTCATGAATTATAAAATAAAGTAGTGATTTAGTCCAGTTTAAAAAGGTCCAAAATTATTTTGTCTCAAGCTGTCAAACTTAGACCCCTATACATAAAATTTCCATGTTTTGAGTTTGAGCTGGTACCTTTACATCTATAGTTTTGATGTAATTTGTAAAATGCAGATGGGATTTTTTTTCAATTTGCATTTGTTGTAAAGAAATGCGCTACAAAATGATAGTGTTCTCAGGCCATAGGCATCAAACTTTGAATTTTATTTATATTGGTGTCTGTCCCTCTTAAACTTTATATTAATTGGGAAAGAGATGACATACAACATTATTATTGTCGTCCTCAATCTTTACAGTTGCTGGAAGGACTTCAGCAATGAACTAAAGAGGTCCTACATTGGAGCAAGATATATATCTGACTTTCACATAAACATTAAATTGTATTGGCATCAATAAATTGTACCATACAAAACATCTGTGCTTTCTAAAAGATGAAATACTATAGTGTAGCAAGATCATAAAAATCTGAAGATATTATATGGTTACCATTCTCTGTCTTGAATGAATATGATTAAAAATACACACACTGTTAATCCTAACATACTGTGGATTCATTTATTGTTGTGGGTACCAGTTTTCATGGATTCAGGAAAAACTTGCATTTTCCTGGATATTTGATTTCAGTTTTTTTGTCAAAGTTTGTTTATAATCCTATAGAAATTTGGTTTTTTGTAGAACCATGTATCCACGAAATCAGTAGAAATTGGTATCCCACAAATATTAATGAATCCACAGTAATTACATTATTGATTCCTCTTTATTGATTGGTTGGATGTTATTATGTTTATTTGTTTTGTTTACTGATACCTTTGTCTCTTCAAACTTTTAAATGCACAGCAAGACTTGATGGATACAGTAGTAGTTTTAAGAATCAGTCAGTGAATAAATCATACTGTGGATGCATACACCTTATCGCTATTTGGAAATCTGTCCTGGTTGACCTGAGAATCTGTCCCGCTTGAACTATTGACGTCATACAACAATCACTTTTTCATTGTGGCGTCAGATATTTTGTATTATGACGTCAAAATTTTACGGGAACCTTTGTGATATCCAGTAATGGCGGACAAATAGCGATAAGGTGTATTATTATTCGTAGGATACCAATTTTCATGGATTTCGTGGGTACATGTGAACCACAAATTTAAATGTTCAACAAAGTATAATATATATATAGGATTGTATGCAGACTTTGGCAAAACCACGAAATCAAATATCCAAGAAAATCCCTTAATTCACGAAAATTTTTACCCTTGAAAATAAATGAATCCACAGTAGTTAGAAAAATTCTATGAACGGTCACCTGGTTTTTGATAAATGATCAGAAACATAATAATTTCAATAATTCAATCACAGGTATTTTTTTTCTTCAAGATTTAAGAAATTGTCAATTTAAATTTTCCAAATAAAAATTTGGGTCACAATTGCTAATCTTTGTATATAGTCTGAAAACAGATTTACTAAGTATTGCACAACAGCACAGTGTATTGCTAAACAGCAAGAAATCTTCAATTGCATAGGCGGATCCAGGGGGTGGGGGGCCGGGCCCCCCCTTTTGTGGGAAAAATTTGGTTGATTAAATAGGGAATCACTGAAGCATGACTGGAGCGGGCCCCCCCTTAGGTCAGTCAGAGGGCCACCCCTTATGAAAAGTTCTGGATTCGCCACTGAATTGAATATAAATTCAAATCATATAACCAATTTCAAGTTCATTGACTACATTTATTCTGTGTCAGAAACCTATAATGTGTCAAATATTTAATTACAATCCAAATTCAGACCTGTATCAAGCTTGAACATTGTGTTCATTTTTGTCCCAACTGTTCAGGGTTGGACCTCTGCGGTCCTATCCAGCTGCGCTCAGTAAAGCAGATTATTTTTAACATATTAATATAAAACTATTGTAAAAAAATAGTTGTTAAGGGCAAAATAAGGGGAGTTTACTTGCCTTATTTTAATACTATCATTGTAAAACAATTTACAAAGTTCTCATTAACGCAACAAAATTATTTATTCATTTCTTTTCGTTTACCATTACTGCATCAAAACTACAATAATGCTATTTTAAGCATGATTCTTCTCTCTACTTTTACAAAGTGCTGGATGCTTACAAATACTTCTACTTAAACATGCATTTAATTCTGCATCTCAACATGTTTCTTGTTAGTTGTGTATTCTGCCTGTGCTTTTTAATTTTCAAAAAAATTATTGAGTTATGGAGTCTAGTTATTAACAGATGCCATGGACTTGTATGTACATGATAGTAGTTGTTCAAATATTCAAAATTTCTTTTTTTATATAGAATTATCATGAGTGTATTAACACTATAAAGTACATGTATGTGTATGAGAAAGAATAAATTGATTATTTTAGTTAGAAAGTGATGTTGAAATTGTAAGGATTTTATAACTTGCAGTGGGGTTTTTTTATATCAAAAAGTAATAACAGCTTGTAGTTTGAATTGTTTTAATTTGAGCAAACTTATTTACTTACTGGTGAAATTTTGGTGGTTTGTATTGTGTGCACACAGTGTTTTAGCTGACCTTAATTTAATTGATTGCTGGAGATGCTTTTTGGGGTAAAGATTGTACACAGTGCAACTGAATCCATCAATCTTCTGACTTTTTAGCTATATTTATACTCATACTACAAATATAGTCTATGACTCATCTGCCCGTCAGTCTCTCCCTAAGTCATTCAGTCAATCAGTCATACATATAACATGTATAATGAGAGTAAGTATACATTTGATATATGGTCACATATAACATATTTAATGAGAGTAAGTATACATTTGATATATGGTCACATATAACATGTATAATGAGATTAAGTATACATTTGATATATGGTCACATGATAAGTGAAATAAAACTATTCTTTTTGTCGAACCTTTGACATTACTGTCATGAAAGTGTTACATAGCAATACTGATTCTTTCGGCGGCAGTGGCGTCAATAATAAGGTTAGGTCTGGTTTAATTTTTTTTTAGACATAAATAACTTTGTCAAACCTTTATGACCAAAAGACAGTATCCAGAGCAATTTTTTGAAAATATCTATTTTCATTTTTCCCTTTTTAACTGATAAATGGACTTGGTCTTCTTTACATTTAACATTCAGATTTAGTCTGAGGTTAAAGCTTTTCAGTCATCAATAACTTGTCAAACCTTCATGGAATTTTAGGAAATTTTGAAAGAAGATTAGTTATGACCAAAATACAGTATTCTGAGCAACATTTTGAAAATATTTATTTTCATTTATCTTTATTTTACTGATAAATGGACTGAGTTTTCTTTTTACAGTTAACAAGTAGATACAGTCTGGGGTTAAAGTTTTTCAGTCATCAACATTTTTGTCAAACCTTCATAGAATTTTATGAAATTTTGGCAGAAGGTTTTTGATGATTGAGAGATAATGTCTAAAGCCAACTTTTGAAAATATATTTTTTTCATTTTCAGTATTTTTCTGATAGATGGACTTAGTTTTTTACAGTTATCATTTACAGACAGTCTGGGATTAAAATTTTTTGACATGATAAATTTGTAAACCTTCATGGATTGTCATGAAACTTGGACAGAAGCTAATTTTCAAGACCATGAAATAACATCTAAAGAAAAAGTTTGAATTTTTTTCTTAATTCTGTATTTTACCGATAAATTGACTCACACATTACACTTTTACACTGACGGCAGCAGTTGCAGGAGAGACACCACGGAACCCCTTGCGAATTTATTTAGATCAATATGTCTGTGGTCAAGGTCATATTTAGTGAAAAAAGACTAAAATAAGTACAGAAAGGAGGTTTCCCGATGCATTATGCAAATTTCTTCCAATTATTATGCTTTTCTTAAAAAAATGCTTGGTCTCATAACAAATTTTTTCAAATTAATATGCCCTCAGTATATTTTGATTCATTTAGTACTGTTATAATTGTAACATTGTTAGAAATGTATTCATGCTGCCATATAAAAAATTTAAAAAAAATAATTTTCATAGGCAGCTGCCCTGTATGCATGGCCATAAAATCAAGTACTCTAAATTAAGAAATTTTTGTGAGATTTTTAATGATGCAACTTGGTGAGTATATAATAATAAGACCTTGCATTCTGATAGCTAATACATACATCTATTATCACAATAATAAATGTATGCAATAATTTCTGAATTTACAGTACTAAATGTACCAACATTTAGAAAATAAGATTTTATTTTTTCAAAGAAAGTTGTCTTGTATCTGAAGCCACAACCACCTTTCCAGCTGAAAGAAAATGGAAAAAAATGTATTTCCAACTAATAATTATTTGCATATTTCTGTTTTTTTCAGTGCCTGGAACATATTTATTGAAGATATCATGGTTAAAGATGTTAAATATATAACACTTATATCAACATACAAAGATTTGCAAGACCTTCTGTCAGACACTGTACATAAAACTTATCCTTTTGTAGATTCTCCAGGTAGGTGGTGTAAGATAGATATAGTAACTCTGCTTTCAGAGACATAACTCATTTTTTATAATTTTGTGGATTCATGCATACTGTGAATTCTATTATAAACATTTTATGTAGTGTTGAATATGAAAAGATGAAGACACAAAGCTGTAAAAACAAAATATGGGTTTAAATAAGAATAAAAATAAAACAATCACACCTTTTGGTGGACATTTTAATTAAAGGCTAGTTGTCATGTTGAAAATAATTAAGAGTGAAAATATTGAAGGATGGCAGGATAAGGAAGCTTTGGTTGATAGGATACAACACTATACACCCATGCACAATGACAATTTTTATGTGGATACACTTTCTTTTGTAGATTCCATGATACTGTTAGGATCTGTACAACGATATGAACTTGAAAGAATTATTTATGTACAATTAAGTTACGATCAGAAAATAGTGCCCCAGGGTTCTCTTGATGATCTGTCAGATGACGAGTTATCGGAAACTTCAGCGCCAAATTCCAGATCAGCATCACGTCCGACCACACCTCCGCCATTCATTGATTCTCAGTTTAGGGCGCTGACTCCAAAGTCACGATTCCATGTATCAAAAGTTGACGACATTCCATTACACCCAGTACATGGTCGTAAACTGTCTTTATCAAGTGCAGTAAGTATTTTTCATTTATTTTGTACAATTATGAATTTTGTTAAGACAGAAATTGAAAGGACAGGAATAGTATTCAAATTATAGATGTTATTTTCCTATGTATATTTACATTTTTAAGATAATTTTTAGAAAATTGTCAATCAATGCAAAAGAAAACAGAGATTTTGAAATCATGAAAAAAATGATGACTTATTTAATCTAACCTTTTGTTGCAGACAAAAAATGAAAAATAAACATTGAAATTTTTTTTTAAAATGAATACTGACTCCTTACATATGTTTTAAATGTATTTAAATTCTTATACAGGATGACCACCTTATAATCCCCCAAATCATTATCCAGGTAACATGTTTATTGCACAGCTTGTTAACATTTTTGCATTCTTGTTATTATGTACTGCAAAAGATTATATGATGACATCTGTTGTTTGTCAGACAATTTATCTTTGCACAAGGTGAATGTCACTTTACTACTCTCTCTTAGATGGTAACAGTTCTCAGGTGCAAATCCATGATTTTGAAAGGGGGAGGGGGCTGGCAAGCCAACATTTGGAGTGATACTTGTAAAAAGTCCATGCATTTATCATATATGAAGCTTCATAACCATAACTTTATTAAACTAAATGTATCTAGCAATTTCAGATATACTTTCGAATTGATCATTCTTCACTGTGAATGTCTTAAAAACCTCTTAAATATGATAAGCAATTTCAGATCTACTTTCAACTCAGTTTGAATGTCTGTTAAATATGATTGGCCTATGCTTTGTGATGTCAATCATACTTATTGATCTATCATTATCAGCTATTTTGTCTGATTATTTTCTTCTTGAAAAATTATGTTTGAATGAAGAAAATTAATAATACATTTTAAATCAGGACGAGGAGGAGGATGAGGATTCAGAGGTAAACAGTATTTATTTCTATTGCAAAAGTGTACTTATTTTCTTGCAATTGATCAAATCTTTTAACTGTTCCAGGTGCTGATTAGAAAAAGTTGGACTGTAAAATAAAATTTGTCAGGTTTAAAAACTTGACTGATACAGTGTGTCTGGGAGAAATTTGACAGAATTACTTCAAACTATTTACGAAGGTACCTACCTCCCTTTTAAACAGAAGGAATTTGGGGTTTCCCATAGTTAAATGTTGATTTTGCAATTTTTACATATATACGGGAAAGTTTCTCAGCTCAAAATCTACAACAGTATACATTTAAATGAAACCAAACTTGACAAGATTAAACAAGATTACTTTTTGATATGTGTATTTTTTAACCTGCAAAGGAGAATTTAAAGTTCTAATTGAATTTCCTCCACAGAGAACAATAGCTTTTGTATTTATTCAATTGGACAATTCACTTTATAAAAATTTAAATACCCTAATGAACAGGTACTGATTCTGGGGAAAGGTTTTATATTTCCTTTGCATTATGTAGAGAAGATAGAGAAGAAAACTGGGGGGACCTATGTTTTGTGTCAAAAACAAACTCATTTTTATTTTCTGTAGCCCTCGGAACAAGCTTATTAGATTTGAATAGTTGCAAGGAAATATATATGTTGTCTTCGTGGTAGAATGTTCATTTTGCAACCTTTTAATGCATCAAAATTCTACAAGATAACACAGAATTAACACGGTTTTATGGTTTAGGCTTCCTATTTTTCCCTTTTCTTGTAAATTTTGGTTAATTTTTGCATTATTGGTAAAGGAACTTCCTTTTCTTTTAAACTTTCAGAAAGAATATCAGCTTTGTATCAAGTCAGTTGAACCCTATTCTAACAATTGTTTGCAAACCATTGAACCAATTCAGAAAAAAATATTATAGGAAGAATAGGAGATAAAAATTGTACCAAATTTCACAGTATTGTAAAACAACGTGTGTTGGAATGATTCAAATATCCATGACTTCTGTAAAATTGGAAGGTCATATTTCTGTGATAATAATTTCCTCTGGAATAAAACACCCATTTATTTACTAGACTCATAGTCTTGAAATTTATTTAATCATGATTTGAATTATGTGCAAGTAGACTTTTACATTAGTAATTACAGAAGCAAAGCAGAACAAAGTATAAAGTTTCCAGACTGAAATCTTGAAATTTATTCTTATAAAACCATTCAAAATGCAATAAAAGACTCCCTTTTAAAAATTTGTTGCATTGGTGTTTGTACAACCTGAGAAAATATATTTGCCAAGCATTGATTCCCTTGTTTTTGTTTACCTATTGGTATGACTTCTGATGGAGACTTAAAATTCTACAGCATCAAACGTTAACACCTAAGTATCTAGTTCATTGAAATGGATTACTTTTGGTTGATAGCCTCAGTTGAGCCATAAAATTCTTGTAGCAAAATTTGACTTTTGCAAGCCTTTATTTTGACACAATTTAGATTATTTTTGCTTTAAGGCTATAACAATTTTCTTTGTAATTAGCTTGTTTTTGGTCCATGTTTTTCTTTTTGCTGGTAAATGTTATTGAAAAGGAAAAGAAGTTTGTTATTGCATGAGCAATTGTACTGTTTGTTCAAGGATTGCATTTTTCTACTGAAGTCTCCTTTTAGGCAATGATTTTCTATATAGAGGTGTCCAACTCTAGTATAAGATAGTACATGTACTAGACAACTAATGTAAAATAGCTTGAAAACAAAATTATGATAATATCTGCCTTTTAAATAACTTCAAATAGTTTATAACAATTTATTAATGTCAATACTTTATTAGAATTGTGGTTATTGTAAACCAACTAATATTAGAGCAAGCCATTAATTTTTTGTGACTTTCGATAGTAGAAAAATAAAATGATTTTTTAGAATGTGTAAAACTTTAGTCTTTCTTCTATAAATACATCAAGAAAATTAGAAAATCTTTAGAAAAAAATTAATGGCCTTGAAGTAGGCTGTAAGGGGCTAAAAGCAAAATAGTATTTGCAATTATAAGTTGGTTTACAGTATTTTTTGTTTATAAAATATGCTTACGCTTTTTAAATATTAGATTTGAAGCCTATAGCACAAAACGAATTGTTTCACATTTTTGTTATCCTGAGGCCTTTTATAGCTTACTATACAATATGGGTTTTGCTCATTGTTGAAGGTAAAACTGTAACCAGTAGCTGTTTACATCCTGGTCCTTTGGTCTTTTGGTGATTAGTTGTCTTATTGACAATCATACCAGATCTCCTTATTTTTTGTATTTCGAAACTAAGTAGTCTAAATGTGTTAGTAGAATATTTTACTGTCTTTATTTTAACTATTATAAAAGTAGATTATTTTGGTGGATGCCTGTTTTCCAAGATTTTGTGGTTTATAGTCTGATGCATGCAATCAAAGTAGATTTTGTTGAGCTTTGTTTTGAATGATATTTTACATGTAAAACCTTATTCAAATCCTCTTCTGTTACCAATGAAACAAGCATCCACAAATTAAAGTGTGTACACTGTGAGTGTTTACTGGTAGAACATGAAAAAGTTCTTTGGTTACGACCAATGAAATCTGTCCAGGATTGATTCTGTGTCTATGGTTTCATTGAAAATTTATGACAGTTGTTATCATGTAGAAGTTGAATTAATCCTGAATGTATTTTAAAGCTGTTTTCACCCACACCTGTAGAATGTGTGTTTGCATGTACATTTGTATTTTATTTATTAATGATATTTGTTGGTATCTAATATATCCCTGCATTGAATAGAACAGACATTGATTTTTAGGTTTCGTGATTTAAAAAAAAGGAAACATATGTTTTGTTTAACAGAAAATTGATGACACATACATGTATTGAGTTTCTTGTCATATTTTTGATGATGCTATTTATAGATATTTACATTTTTTATGATGCTATTTATAGATATTTACATTTTTGATGATGCTATTTATAGATATTTACATTTTTGAATAATGCATAAATTTGAAAGCCAAAAAAAAGTCAATGCATTACAATAAAATGTGATATTGAGTTCTATTTTGTGAAATGTCATGTATCAAAAGTATATCCTTCATTTATCACAATTTTATACAACAAGACATTTCTGTTTTCGTATTTCCAAAAGGAAAAGCTTGCAATTTTGGTGGGATTCTAAACCTTTCTTGAAAAAAAAAAATCACAAAAACAAGTATGTTGTCTTTTTGTATTAAATCATCAGTGTATTTTTAATTTTGTGAAAATGGTAAAAACAACATTTTGTACTGTATAGAGCTGTGGAAACTGTACTTGCTAGAATCTTAAGTCATGAGGACTTAAATGGATTCCTCATTCTGTCATGTTTATACGCCGGCTTACAGGACGTATTATGGTATACTGTTGTCCGTCTGTCTGTCCGTCCGTCCATCCGTCCGTCGTCCACATGTCGGACAATAATTCGAAACTCTTTTACCAATTTGCATGAAACTTTGGTGAATTGTTTATATCTATTGACGTGAGCTCCCTTTCATTTTTTATAAATTTTAGATTTTACTTTTCAGAGTTATGGGGGTTTTATTCATTAAAAAAGGAGGATTTTCCAGTTTTCTGTTAATAACTCAAAAACACTTTCACCAATTTGTAAGAAACTTTGATGCATTGTTTATATCTATTGATGTGAGCTCCCTTTCGATTTTTATAAATTTTTGAATTTATTTTTCAGAGTTATGGGATTTTATTCATAAAAAGGGGTGATTTTCCAGTGTTCAGACAATATCTTTAAAGTGCTTTGAGCAGTTTTCATGAGACTTTGGTGACTGGTTTATATCTATTAAGATAACCTCCCTTTAGTATTTTTAAATTTCTGATATGACTTTGAGAAGTTATTGAACTTTATTCTTTGAAAAAGCGATGGGCGTATCATGCGCTCATGGCACAGCTGTTAATTTTCTCATGTTATTACAAATCTGTAACTAACAAAAAATCATCAATTTCCTTGCAAGTGGTTGATTTCATTTTGATTGTAACAACAACTTATCAATTAAACCAAATAGAATTTCTAACATGCAGTAAAAATTGGTTAACAAATAAACAGTATGCTATAATACAAAAAGCAAGTGAGTCAAGAGCTGTTACCAACAGGGATGTAATTCATCTTTCTTTATTCATACCACAAGGAATAGTACTTAATAACTATTGTAAAAATTATAAAAAAAAACCAACAAGATCTTGGTTTATGGCAAGGAAATTATTTATTGTGGTCAACATGTTTCGCCACTTAAAGTGAAGACACCACTCTAAGTGGCGAAAAATGTTGACCACAGTAAATGATTTCCTTATCATAACCAGGATGTTGTTGTCATGTAATATGGTTTAAAGACAATCGCAGCATACTTCAGTATCCATCCTTATTACTCTACCTTGTACTGCCAGAAGGTGTTGGTTCACTTGACTTATTTTTAGTAAAAATTATTTGTAAATATCATTAAATATTAGATTTCTAAATTTACAGCAGGTATTTATTTGCTTTAGTCAAGAATGTTACAAATGTGACTATGTTATTTATGGTTTATATTCTAGGAGAAACGAGTAAAAATAAAATATGAGGTAAAATTGGTACTTTACAAACAGAACAAACTCATTAGATGCTGCATTCTCTTTCCACATGCTGCTGCATTGTATCAAAAAGACTTAATTATGAAATAAGACAATACGATTCTATAACCAAGATATACTCGTACCCCTCCCTTTCACAGATGTTTACCTATCTACATACATAAGACATACTGGAATCAAGGTGATACTGAATTTATATGTTAAAGGAATTTTTTTCAATGTTTTCATTATTCCAAAAAATTATACAGGATATAGTTTCACATTAACTAATTAAAACTTGCACTTTTTGATAACATTATCTGTGTGCATTTTCTGGAATTTCTTTTATAATTTTGTCATTTTTTTCCCCTGTTGATCAACAATTGCATAAATACTTGCGGTAAAATATTGCAATAATTTCCAAATCAAAAAAGTTGCAATGTATTAAACTAATATAGGCACTTGATCTTCCAGAGTTTAATTGTATGTTTTTGTCTTCTTTTCTTTGTCCAATCTTCATCCTTCCAGTCTTTTTATTTCTTTTTCAGATTTAAGACTATTTTTAACAGTTCGTGAATAATTGATTATCTTTTGACCTTTTAGAAGTATTAATGACAGGACTTGTAGATACAGATGATCCCTTCTTCTGTAATTAATGAAAGGACTTGTAGATAATGTTTCATCTTTTCATGTCACCTTTGAAATTTAGAGAGGGAATTAGCTCATAGATGTAAAATGACAAATTAAGCATTTGTTATTTGAAAAAAAAAACAGTAAAGATTCAAATTTGTAGACCTACGGCTCTTTTCACAAAAAAATCTTAAGAGTAAAAATACTCGTAAGTCATACACATTTCAGTGTAACTTACGATTGATTTTAATCGTAAGATGTTTCGTGAAAAGAGTTGCTGGCCTTTGCCATCAAGTTGGTTGCACGATTTTCATTGACAGTATTAAATAAAAACCCAAATAACATGAAAAGATGATGCATGTAGCTAGTGCTATACACTAACTTATTCCCATAAGCCTTTAGTAACCACATCCTTAAACAGAAAATCCTACACACCCAAACAGGATCAGCCTTAGCTCATATAACCACATAACCACTTTAGAGAGCAATTCTTATATACAGATAAAAATTTGCTATCAGTCTAGTATTGGTCACCTGTACTTTAGTGACCAAGACACCTAAGTAAATCATTATTAAGCCTTGATGGCAGGTAGTCATCATATGTCATTAAAAATGAACGTGCTGGTGATATTGATATTTTCTATGGTAGGAAGTTGAGGTGTATAAATAGTTCCCATTATTTTTTACTTGGCAAGCCAAAAATTAAATTCCTCTTACTTACTTAGGCAGATTTAATGAGTTGTAATGCTTTTAATATATGTGATTGAATGAGCTATGATGTCTGTTGATACAAATATAGAATTGTTTATCAATTCTCATTTCTATATCCTACTCTATAAATGGTGGCTATATTGCAACCACCTTAATGAACAGAATGACTTCATATTTGGTCATCATGAGTTGAAATGTGAGTTTTTCAGATTTGTCAGACACCTATTACCCGTTTTGAGATACTTTAATTTATGTGTATGGGTTAGCTTAGTTTGACAACACATGAATTCTTGTTTGTGTTTCAATTAGCCTATTTTTTTAAGGCATTTTAATTTTATGTTTTATATGCTGGTAATAACGTTAAAAAAAGTATAGAAAAGGCGACCTGAGATAGCATACAGAAATTATTGCAAGGTTTTTATTTACGCGACGTGGTGAGCATCGCAACTATAAGAACTTGCATTCTGATATGTGATACATATATCTGTATTCAGATCTTCCCCAAATCTTAATGATTAGTGTTGCACTTTTGTCCTTTCTACAAAAATTGCAATAATTTCCGATTCTACAGTATCTAAAATCCTACTAACATGAATTTGTTGTTGATTAATATCTTAAAAGAAATAAGAAAAAAAATGTTGATTTATGATGTTATTTCAGCACAGTGAAGATAATTTAACAGCTGAAGAGAGGGATATACGGCAATATCATACAATACAAGTACCGTTAAGGGGTATATTGAAGAAGTCAACATCGGCTTCCAGACTTCCTATCAAATCTGGGAGTGCTACAGATCTAAAAGGTAGGAAATAAATTCCTTCGATGCAATTAATCTCAGAAATGAAATGAATTCCTTCAATGCAAAAGAAGAACTAATATGATCTATACTGAACAATTCATTGTCAGAACAATAGATTTACTTTTTAATCTTAACTTTGAAGTTTTTCTATTTACTGAAAAGTAATGTTGGTATTATAGTACTTGTGGTATAGTTTAAACATTTATTAATTTTCAGCTGAGATAAATGCTTACTACAGAAAGTTAGCCGGAACAAGGAAAGAGAGCATTGTAGAAGATGTTCCATTCTTTATAAATGTAAGTACTGTGAATTTGGGGATTTCAAGGGATGAATCTGACGTGTGATTTTATTGTCACATTTTTTTCCTTGATTCTGATTTGTTAAAGATAAAATTCATATAAGGGATATTTTCAAGATTTGACCTTAATCATGAAGATAAAACCCTTGCAAAAAGTTCCCACAATTCCGTATTCTTAGTTTATATATTAGCTCATTTCATAATATGATTTCATGCCAAAATTTAAATGCTATACCTACTTACTTACTTAAACGGCCCTTAGTATCCAAAAATGGTTTGGCGTAATACAGAAATTTCATTTTAAACTCCATTCATTTGAGCAATTGCATCACTTGGCACCCCCTGATTGACCATCATTGTTGTGGGAAACATGGAAAATATTCTCATCCACAACCCCTAGCCAGATTGGACTAATTAAACATGCCAGCAATAATTTTCAGTTAGGTATTCTCAACTATGATTTTGAGGAGTTTGCAGCCCTTTTGAAAAATTACTAGAAAGGACCATTCGTGTAATGAATTACACAGTATATGAAAATAAGTTCTTGAAACATAATTACATTTCATTCTCTTTTCATTTGCAGAAATCCAGTTTTTCAAATTTACCAGGTTTAGAAAAGAGAAGAAAAAAGAAAGTGAAGCTGGTAAGCTTAATCTGTAACTACTGTAAATTCAGAAATTATTGTGAGGTTTTTATTAATGTGAATCATGTTACTGGGTGATGATGACAATAAGAAATCACATTCTGATATTTGATACATATATCTGTTTGCAGATATTCCTGAAATCGCAATAATAAATTATTTTTTTATTGCCATTTTTTATAAATTGCAATATTAAATGCACACAGTAATTTCTGACTTTACAGTAATAATAAAATAGACTTTAAAGTAATGCTATTGTTCATAATTGTAAAATAAAAACAGATGATGAATTATTCCAATTGGTTTTAATTGCTATGGAAAGATTGGTTGTTGTCAGTTTTTATGTCCCCACCGTCACCAGAGGGGGCATTAAGTGTTACCCTTGTCCGTCTGTACGTCCATCCGTATGTATGCACGTCCCAAAATTGGTTTGCCTCAACCAAATGTTTTTGAAACTTATACACCATACTTATTACCACAAAACACAGATCAAGTTCGAATTTGGGTGGCGTCACTTTTACCGTTCTTGAGTTATGTCCCTTTTAGAATGTTAAATGCAAGCAGGGCATCATCTGTGTCCCATGGACACATTCTCTATTTATTTTCCTATAGAACAAAAGCAGCTGAATCAGTTGGCAATAGCTTTATATGTCTTTTAATTTATTGGGATCAATGCCGTTAGGACATATATGATTTTTTATCACAATTAGTCAACGATATTGAGTGGGTCATAATTAGTATGCATTAGCACACTGTACATGTTTTTTTTATAATTTCAGCCTCCAGAGCCAGTTAAAATTAGTAATTTACCAGAAGATAAGGTAGGTTAATCAGAACAACAAATTTAATATCATCTTAGTACTCAAAAGCATACTAAGTTAGCAGACATCTTGTTGAACGGTCTTGGTGGTTTAATGGTAGCATGCTTGTCTCAAGTTTAGGTCACGAATTTGATCCATGGCTGGGTAAAAATTAAACCTGAAAATTGGTAATGGTTTACTTTTATAAATTTTGACTTGGATGGAGAGTTGTCTCATTGGCACTCATACCACATCTTCTTATATCTATTTGATGCTTTTCTTCGAAGCATACTGCATTTAGGAGTAAGAGTATAGACTTGGCTTGGAGTTGGAATAATGTGTACAGGAAGAGTGACATATATTCCTTTGAACTTTAACCTTGTGAACTAGCACATTAAAAATCCATCTCAGAGTGTTGGTCTAGTACTGCAGAATTCATATTCATATCTCATCATTAACATGTTCTTGTCCTGATATGCATGTGATATTTGCCATTGGTTGTTTAATACCAATCCATCTTCATCATCATCATCATTTTAGTTTTGAAAAGTAATGGAAAAGTATAAGTTTGCAAGGATTAATTACCCTCAGTGTAGTTTATGTTATCATATTCTATTTATCATGTGAGTTGTATGACATTGACAAGAAAGTTGAATGCATTTTACTACTATGTAGAAATATTTTCGTTTCCTGCCAATATATGAAGAGTTGAAACCGTTTAACCTATGAGGTGTAGAATTCAGACAGTTATTCTACAGAATGTGTAATTTTCCTCTGTTTATTTTATACCAATTTGGTTTTGCCAATCTTTTCATACGACCGCAAAAAATTTTGCGGTCGTATATTGGTATCACGTTGTCGTCAATTCGCAACAGCATAGTGTATTGCACAAAAGCAAAAAATTGAATATAAATTCAAATCATATAACCAATTCTAAGTTCTTTGACTACAGTTATTCTGTGTCAGAAACCTATTATGTTTCAAATATTGAATTACAATCCAAATTCAGACCTGTATCAAGCGCGAATATTGTGTCCATTTTTGCCCCAACTGTTGAGGGTTGGACCTCTGCGGTCGTATCCAGCTGCGCTCGGCGAAGCAATTTATTATAATCTGTCGTGTTCATCTGTAATTGGCTGTATGTTAACTATTAAAAAAAAACTTCAATACTTTACAGCAAAAAGAATGGGAAGAGGAAAAGTTACTGGAGACAATAGAATGGGAGGGTTGTCAGATAGATCCAGCTCCATTCCAGCTAGTAGAAAGAACATCTTTACACAAGGTATACATTTTAGGCTTACATAGGTATCAACAAAGTGGGAGACATTCTTTTCAATATTTCTTAAGATTTTGTTGAATTTAGAAATTGAAAATGTCTTGACATTGATTGGATTTCTTTTTTACCACCAATTTTAATTGTATAATTAACCCAATTGTAGACAAAAAGATGCTATAAAGTTAATGTTCACATACGTTATGAAGATGACAATGAATTTTCTTCATCAGAATGTCCAGATTAAAATATTAAAATTCAAAATTTAATGTTTTGGAATTCATGTCATCTGTGTCACTGTGTTCAGATTTGAATTTAAAAGAAAAAACATTTTTTTGTCAATCAGTTTTGGTTTCATTTAAAATTGGGATAACAGATGACTAGAAATGTAAGATGCATTTGCTTTGTGTATGTATTTGTAATTAACAATCAAGATCTCTTTTACAGGTCCATTCTTTATTTTCATTGCTGGGTTTAAGTCGTGCCTATGTTACAAATACAGGGAAATTATGTGGTGTATGTGGTTTACAAGAGGTGAGTTGTCTTCTCATTAAAATGAATATGAAACTTATGAGTCGTTAATTTCTTTTATTAAAGGTTTAATGAGAACTTCAAGGATTTATTTCAAAAATTTCAAAAACTTAAGATCCATCCCTTAAGAAAAAATTTCTAAAAAATCTTGTGTTATTTGGATCATAAAATCTAAGTCTTAAATATAAAAGGCAAATTTGTTACATCAAGGATATTTTCAATTTGGAATAAGTTTGTTTTACTTTTTATTTGATGTAAAAAAAATCATTTGAAAGCAGTTTAATTCCAAAACTCTTTTTTACTTTTTTCAACTTTGAATACCATTTCTATAAATGGAATGATATATACAATATTTTGTTAAAATCAAAGCTTTTCATATTTTATTTATGTCACTTGTATTCCTGGCCCTTCCTTTTGTTTGTTTTACTACATCATCAAAAAATTCAACAGCTTAGATTTCTTATAAGTAATCAAGTAAAGGTAAACAGGCTAGCAAATATCTGCCCATGTCATATCAATTCCAATTGTCTCTTTCATGACACATGATGTGAAACTTGCAAGAATAATTATATTCCTCACTATTGTCAACTGCCATTTATATATTACTTCCCTGATCTCAGTATGACCGTTCTGCCTTAAATTACCGGTATATATATTTTAATAATATGATTTGAGTTGAGTTGTAAATTCTTAATTTTGCCTCTTTTAGGTCCAGTTTCTATAATTTGGGCTGCAGTTATTTTGCTCCAATTGTTGTTTTTAAGATGTAGCATTTTGTGCCAAAATATTTTATGAAGTTGTAATTCATTAAATATGATCATGGCTTGTATTATTTTCACACAAAAGCTGAGGAATAGAACTCAAAATTTCAAACACTTGGAATCTTGGTTGCTTACAATTATGCCATTAATAAGGTGGTGAAATCATGATCACATGAAAATAAAAACGATTTTGATAGGCTAATTATTAATATTCATGATTGTCTCCCTTGGGAAAAGTTATGAATATGGATCCAGAACCAACAGCAATTTGATTTAGTGTTTTTTTTTCGCACTTACACTGATGGATTTGGAACAAGGGGTAAAATTTGTGTGGTTCATTCCTTAATCATGTAAGCTGGAATATACAAATAATTAAAAACATGAATTCAATGATAAGAAAAACAGGCGAGACATTTCAGAGTGTGCACTCTTGTTTTGTAAACAGTGATGCTCACTTGGCATTGGTGAAACAGGACTCATTTTTGATCAACTTGGATATCTCCCAGTATTTTGAAATGTACAAATATTGATTTGAAGAAGAGAAAAAGTTACAAAAACTGTGTATTTGACATTTTCTTTTAAGCTATTACCTTGTGTTAATGTAAGTAAAAACAAGGATCACTGACACCTGCCGAAAATTTGATCATTTTAAATTTATATTTTTGGTAAGAATTTTATGTTTTAAAAAGGTTGAGGAGAATTAAATTATATTGAAAGCTTGGTTTTGTAATGTTTGCTTTTCATGTGCATCAGAAAACATGTCCTAAGTACTATATTATGGGATACCAATTCACATGGATATCGTAGGTTTAGGTGAACCAAGAATTTCAATATTTGAGGGAGTACAAATTTTCTAAATGCTTGAATGCAGTCCTTGGCAAAACCATGAGGTCAAATTTCAAAGAAAATACAATTTTCCTCAATCCGCGAAAATTGGTGTGCACGAAAATAAATGAATCCACAGTACTAAAGAAAATCATGCTGAAGAAGGTCAGATAGTTTCATGGCTAAATAATGAACATTACTAAAAAAAAACCAAGGAGAAGATGTCAAAGTCCAGAGAATTTAATGATTTGAATAACAGATCAAATTTTAAATATAGGTCTTCAGTATGGAAAACAACTACCAAATTATAAAAAGATAAACAGAAAAAAGAATAAATAAGGAAATGTTGTTGCTTTTCGAAAGTATCTTTAAATTTCTTTCAAGTCCTCCACAGTACACTCAATACTTTAGGGGCATTTGTCTGTATTTAATCTACAGTGATCACTAGGCTGTCAACACTTAGATTGTGAGTTTGAACCCTGCTCATAGCAAGGTGTGTTTGACTCCAATCTTAATTGACTAGGACTGCCATTTTCCTGCCAAAGGTTAGTGGTTCTCTTCCAGGTATTCTAGCTCCTGTGCCATGATATAGCCAAGAGTGCTGAAAGAGGCATTAAACAACAATCAATCAATCTGAATACATTATGATTGAAAGAAAATGCATGAAGATATATTTCATATGAAAATAGATTAGTTGTAAGCTTCTTTGTGCACATGCTTCAATAGTAAACATTAGAAAAAGCTAAGCTTTCAACGGAATTTAGAAACAAATAAATTAGTGTGCCTATTTTCTCTGAAATCTTCTGTCAAACCAACTTATAATAAACAGTTACCCTTTTAAGTCAAATGTTATTCCAAAAATTATATGTTAAGATTACGGAACAGTAAATGGGCTGTCACAGATTTTGGTAAAATTTTGTATGCAGTTTTGGCTCTTTGAACTATAACTAAATATCTATGTACTTGAAATAGGAGATTTGATGATTTAAAGACAAATTTAAGAAAACAAGGAATTATTTGAATCTGGAATAATTTTGAATTATAGAAAATTGATAAGACATGTAAGATGAAAACTAACCCAATTTAGGAGGGTTAGCCGTGGGGGGTTAGTTAGTTCATACCGAAGTATCAGTGAAAGTAAAATTAACCTTAGCCATGCGTGCACGCGTGCATGGCTAACCCTATTAAGTTGGGTTAGTTTTCATCATACATTTCCTATCACCAATTTTCTAGAATTCAAAATTATTCCAGATTCAAATAATTCCTCGTTAGAATGTTTTTCTCTGATTTTATGAGCTTTTTATACAAATAATCATCAAATTTTAAAGAATTCAATCAGTAATATTTCAGACAATAAATGAGATAAATGCATTATTTTTTTAGCTTTTCAGTTAAAGTTAAACGAGCCAAAGTTGTATGCAATATTTTACCAAAATCTGTTACATAGCCCATTTACTGTAACTTGACCTTAAATTAAAGTTATTATGCAGGTTTCATTGTTTTATCACATGTGGGATAACTTATACGTAAGTCAAATAAAAAAATGCATGAATATGGAGAACTATTAAATGTTTAGTAATTTAATTTGCTACATGTATTATTTGATATGGTCAGTATTTGTGGGGACAAATGATACTAAATAAAAGTCAGCTTTGTGGTATTTTTAAAACTCATTCTTGGAGATTTTTTCAGGTTAGTATTAATGTTATATAGATAGTTATTAATCAAAGAAATGATTAAAATTCAGGAGATAAAGGGGGTTGGTAGGCACTTTTTTATGGCCATCCACTTATACAATTGCATTTTCTTTTGCATACATAACAAAACAATTTGAACTTTGTGACCTGCCCACTCCCATACAAAAATAATTCAAGTTCCACCCAACACTTGTATATATACTTCAGAGTCAATTGTTGAATCTATTTAGTAGATAGTTTTGTTTGTTAATATACTCTTCATAGATTATACAGCCATTAGATGAAATTCAATTACCTGGTAACTTACATCACAAAATTACACAAAATCAGGACATTTTAACTTGTACATGCTTAGAAAAAATATAGAGCATATTCATTGCCCAAAAGATATTTTTAAGCAGTAAGTATTATTTGTGTTTATCAATACACTGGCGACAAAAACAGTTTGACCATTGCTTTTGTTCTATGTAAATTTAGTAAGATAGTACTGAAAATTAGCTTTAAGGTGGTACATAACACTACAGGGAGATAACTCTGTAAAAATCAGCAGAACGTTTTAATCACGTTTTATTGTTAAGGAAATATTAAGCTTCTCAATGATTAAAATTAGTGTTCATCAAATTGCTATATATCCAATGAAATTTTTCCGATAAAGTGTGTGGTTCAAGTTTTTTCAAATTTTTATATTTTTGTCAAAGGGTCAAAGTAAATATTTTGTCAAAATTTTATGAAAATTAAACGAGCCAAATTAATTTTAGTCAAGGTGTTTGGTACCACCTTAATTTCCATAACAATTTATGAATCAAGCAATCAGATGTATTGTTTGACATTGAACCTCTTCAGTCAATGAAATCTTTTCAAGGCCTTATCATACATCGTTGGTTTTCAATTGTAGCTTCGGAATGCCATTCAAGGCAGGATTGATGCTGAAGAAGCTATTAAAAAGAGAGAGGAAGAATCTGAAGATAAAGAATTTGACCCTCAGGAATTAGAGGTTGAAGTTGCACCTCATCCCAGTGACTTTATGTTAAGTCATTCAAACGATGCAGACTTTGAATATCCAGTTGTACAGATCTCGCCTCCAGACGAAGACAGCAATGTGTGACAAGATATGTACAGATCTCAGCTCCAGATGAAGACAGCAATGTGTGACAAGATATAGTTACTAAGCAAGGACATAAGTTATGAAATTCAACTTTTTAGGAGTATTGCAATCACAGAAAAGTAACAAGATTATTTGGTAGTGTAACTTTATATTAACAATTCTCTATACATGTAGTTTGCTTGTTTTAGGTGAAACATGAATTTTTTACTGTTGTAAATATAGGTACTTGACTGGTCAAAAAAAGGATTTTCAGTTATCCTTTTTTATCATGATTTGAATGGCTAATAATTACAACTGTTACTGGTTACTCTTTCAATAGTTTGTAATTTTTTTCATGGCTTATTGTATAAGTTCAATACACTGTAGATATGTTGTAGATGTAAAGTATAAGAACAGGTAGTGCTTTTTGTACAAGTTCAATACACTGTTTTTGTACAAGTTCAATACACTGTCGATATGTTGTAGATGTAAAATATAAGAACAGGTAGTAGGTAAGTAATCAGGACCAAGAATTTTATCATATAACATTTCAAATTTACTTTTTCAACACAAAATGGATATGGAAATGGAGAGGTATTTCTCAAAACACCGTGAACACTCAACAGAGTTTGATATGAATATGCGATAATTTAATTGGCCTATCCTGCATTGTGTTACAGAATTGAGTCATTCCCTTCAGCTATATGTTAGGTCAATGAATACTTTTCCCCTGTGGCACCAGTAATTTGAATTAATAATTACAACTGTTACTGAGTACTCTTTCAATAGTTTGTAATCTTTTCTTCATTGCTTTTTGTACAAGTTCAATACACTGTTTTTGACATTCCAAAGATTTTATAGAAGTAACAACATTATGTCATATTACGAATTTCCTATCAGTAGATTAACTACTGTGGATTCATTTATTTTTTCGTGGGTACCAATTTTTGTGGATTGAGGAAATTTGTATTTTTGTGGATACTTCATTTGGATATCGTCCATTGTCCTTAGAGACTTTACCTGTGAACATAACATACAAGAGCATCTGGATGGGGTTTACAAAATAGAGATTGATGGGCAAAAAATGCAGAATAAAGGGCTAAAAAATAAACTACCGAAAAATAGGCCCAAAAAATAAATAACAGAGAATAATGGGTGTTTAGATACAAAGAATAAAGAATAATTGGCAAAATAGGTAATAGAGAAAAATGGTCTAAAAGATTAAAAAATAAAGAAATGAAGGACCCCTCATCCAGACCCTCATATAAGTGTTATTAATTTTATTTGACCTGTAACTAAACATATTAACCCATGTAATAGATAACTGTTTGATTAAGCTTTAAACACAAAACTTTTAAGTTTTACTTCCAATTAGTTGAGCAATATAATAATTTTCTTAGTCTAGCTTTTATAAACAGGGAAAGGCCTTTTACAATAAAGTAGTTTTAAATCAAATTAAAAGGTAATCTATGAAATGAAATTTACTTGTCATAATATTATGTAACTATTTATATGATGAAGTATCTGTCTTTAACTTTTCAGTACATGCTTTTCTTAGGTCAGAGCACGAAGGGGGAACCTGTATTTTAACATTCACATGATGATTAAAAGCTCTGAGATAAAGTGGAGTTGAAAAATTGATGCTTTATCCATGACTGGAAAAGATAAAGCTTTCATATCCTAATCTGTATTCATCCAATTATCTTGGTATATATGAAAGGAAAAACTCAAGAAACCTGGAATGAAACATTAGACTGATGTCTAAATGCTATGCAATATAAATGTGATATATGTTGTAATTTTATGACATTTTTATGTTTTTGTGTCTGTTTATGAATATTTATGTAAATATTGTCTATTTCTTTGTTTTATTTGGAATGTAAATATGTACATATGAAAAATGGCAATAAAGTCATTATACTTATACATTTCTAAAGTGCTAAGTCATCTTATGATCTTCAAAAGGTCAAGTGCCACTTTTCTTTATTTTTTATCTATATATTATATGCTTTTTCTTTTAGTTAAGATATATAAGTGTAAGGGACCATCTCATAATACACATTTTTCACATGAACTTATATCTGCTATTTTGTTTGGAGGTAAAGCAAATAATTATAATATTAAAAATTTCTTATGTTTGGCTAGCATGTATTTTTCACACTTTTAATTGAATGAAGTGATTCTGTGGAAGCTAATACATTAAACCTCGACAAAATATCGGGGGGCATATTGATTTACCCCTGTCCGTTTGTCCGTCAGTCTGTCCGGATTAGGATACATTGTTTGTCCGGCTATCTCCTCCTACAGTTTTGAAGGTACAAATTTAATATTTTGTAGGATGTTCATACACATAATGGAGGTGTGCATGGCCACAGGATTTTGATTTCTTTTAAATATTCTGAAAATGACAGGTAGTTGGACTTAGTCAGTTTTTGGGTACTAGCTGCATAAAGAGATCATGGTTTGTCTGGCTATCTCCTCCTACAGTTACATCATCACACATAGTGTTAAATTTATAATTTCCTATGGTCAGGCGGGGGCATCACTTGTGTCTTACAAAAAGCGTAACAATTTTAAGTTCTATGCCAACATCACTGTTTGTCAAATCTAAAATATATGGAACTATACTCATGCATATGGCAGAGCAGAAAAGGGGGGGGGGGGGGGGGAGCATTGTCCATATCTAGTTTTAAATTTTGAAATGGTCCCTAAGCTTGTATTTCTTTTCATGGTTTATTTGATATATGTATTATTATAAGTTTCTCATCAGTTGTATGTTATTTGTCAGTCATATGTTATGTTGAATTATATCATTACATTTTCCCACTTATACTATAACTGTACTCTACAAAATCTCATATTAAGTTTTCACCTGTAACAAGTGGGCTTTTGTGAAATAGGTATCTCTAAAAAGCCATTTATTGTTTACGTATATTTTTGAAGTCATGGATGTTGAAAAATAATACTGCAAGCCAACTTATTTTCGCTGAGACTTTCTATCACGTTTGTCAGCCACTTTGTCAGAGATCTATATTCTTGAACTTTGAACTTCATTTACGCATTCCTAATAAGAAGATTTAAGGTTGACATATTTATCTTACTCTTCTACCTCTGAAAGTTGTGAAAATAAATCACTTGTGAATATATGATGGTTTACAGTACTTTTTATTCATTTCCTTCTAAATAGAAACCTCCCTTCACTTCCAGCGTCTATATTACACCATTTTCCTCTATACAATAATATTAACAAATTTTTCAGAGGAAATAAAACATTTGTCAGCTACTCAATAACTAGTTACGTTATTGGTATTCACAGGGTACCTGTTTTTCAGCAAACTGAAAACAAATTACAGATGATATTATAAAGGGAGATGACACACTTTTGAGATGTGGGAAATTGCACAAAAAGTGGGATTTGGGAAATGAGCACCTTCATTTCACCCCCTCATTATACATGCATATTAGCTAATCATAATGATCAACAAGCAATGTAAATTATATATGCACTATGATCATTTTCATCCATAAAAGTTTGCATCTACAGTATTTTACAATTAAATTTAGCAATATACCTTCATGCTCAACATAAATATACATATTATTATAAATAACTATTTTTGTATGCACATGTATGTGGATTTTCATCTTTATCATAATGAAGGTAAGGGCTATTCCATTTAAAATAGGTGTAGGAGAGTAGGAAGAGATTAAGAAAAATAACCTCACAACCAACATACCTACTTTGTGTAATTTTGCATACATGGAATGGACAAACAATCATAAATGATCCATGTTCAAAAATGAAACTACCTTTTCTACCCTCCAAAATTTATTTCAATTGAATACCTTTTTAAAGTCAAATTAATTCACTGCCACTTTATAATCAATTGTTTATTAGACCTATCTGTTTCATTTCAAAAGCAAAAAATTTCTGAAAGATAGTTATTGAAATAGACAATGCTGAATATTCCATATTATTAGGAAAAAAAAACAATTCAAGTCATCTTTTATGCTAGACTTTTTTCCATTACACTGGCACATTATTTTGGTCATTAAAAATGACATCCGGAATAATTATTTAATCAGGATTAAAAAAAACTTGCATTCCTGTATATATTTTATAAATATGAATTGAATGTGTTATGCCTTCTATGATCTGTTTTATTGTGATATTGTACTGTATATTTGTATCATTCTCCCACTCTAGGAGTGGGGCTATATTACATTCACCATGTCTTTACGTCTGTCCTTCCATTCATCCAACAAATAACTTTGTCATACTTTTCTCACGTACTACTGAACAGAATGACTTAATATTTGGTAAGCAGTTTAACAGTGATTAATTGTAACATGTATGTGTTTTTCAGAACTGTCAGACACCTTCTTCTTGTTTATGATACTTCAAAACACTTTTCTCCAGTAATACTTAAAAGAATGACTTCATATTTCATCAGCATCTTTACAGTAATTATTTGTAATAAGACATCTACATCTTGTTTATTCATCCTTTGAATTGCAAGTGGGAGTATGCTTAGCACGACAACGATTCTTGTTTTGTGATAATGATATACAGTGTAACCTACCTAATCCCAAACCTGGGAATTCCAACATCCTGCTTTAACCGACACATTTTTCTGGTCCCAAAATATGCCTATCCTTGCAGAAAAAACTGAATATTCCAACATCCTGCTTAATCCAACATTTTTTTCTGGTCCCCCAGTGTGTTGGATAACACAGGTTACACTGTAATGTTATATTTGTCTTTCATTAATGTTTTAATGTCTACTTGTATATAATATTGATATAATAAACAGATATGACCATTATTGTGTAGAATAAGATGGATGGGAAGTAAATACAAATGTATACAGAAAGATATTAATTTAAACACATAGATGTTTGAAAAAATATGTAAATTATTTAGTTGTTTCATAGATCTACAAAAATTGTATTATCTTATTCTTGTTTTAATATTTGAAGCAAAATAAACCTGTAGAAATGTATCAATCAACAAAATTTGAATCTGGATTTTTACCCTTGGTCGCCATGTTGGTGGTGAAACTGGTTGATTATCATTTTAGACTAACAAATTAAACATGATGTTTAATCAAGTTTGATAAAAGATCCGTACTAGATCATAGTGATTATATAAAAGGCTAAAACAAATACAAATATTTCAGAAAACCTTTTTTTAAAGTATAGCAGTCAGTGTAATATGTTGAATTTGGTTGAACTATGACAGAATTTGTGAAAGTAGAGACCTAAAATATGGTGGCAAAGGGAAATAACTCAACTCAAATTCATTAATTTAAAACTATCTATTTGTTTAGATAGACAAAGAGTTGCATTGTGTTATGATTAATTCAGACATTATTTATGCAACATATTCATTTGATAGTATTCAAAACATATTTATGTTACTAGTATTTAATAAATAAATTGAAAAAAGAATTTTTCCTTTGGTGATGATCGAGTTTCAAGCTGCAAGACATTTTTAAGAGAAGACATTTTGCAGAATATCAAGTTTTAAGAAATACCAAAATATTTTCTGAAATACAATTTATGAATAAATTAATCACTCACACTAGACTGGAAGTGAAGGATCTAAATTTTCTGCAATATTAGGTTCTTTAGTGGAGGCAAAAGTTTTAGTAGGTTATTATCCAATTCCAGTCTAGCAGAGAGACATTTCTTGTCCTTAAAACAAAACCTAGTAATCTCCCTTTTCTTAGCATTATTAGGGGAGATAATTTGTAATTGTTATGTTATGAGAAAATAGAAGAAATTTTTACATATGAATGGCATTATAATTGTTGAATGAATTGTGAACAAATTTATGACATTTTATAAATATATTATTTATTGATTTTATCAATAAACTCTTCCACATACTAAAGTGTAGTTCTATTTGAATAGTATTATCCTGAAATATAGTTTTATTATACCTATTGCTACAAAGTGTATACCTGGTGTAATCATTGTTAATAGTGTGTCAAATATTGGAGAACAAATTTTGAACCATCTAAAAGGTGGAGATCAGAAAATTCAGATGACAATGTATGAATTCGACAAATAAAAAATAATGAGAAAGATATATAGACCAAACAAAAACAGTCAGTGAACCAAAAAACCTAAAGCTTGACAGATGCCACATGTGGAGCAGGATCTCCTTAGTAAGGAGTCCTTACCCTTCTGGAGCACCTTTCAAGTATGGTAACCATCAGTTCTATATACCCATGTTACCCATTTTCTTGGATGAGTTATCAGGGATTTTCCTATATAATAATTGCTCTTTTTGGAAGATTTTGCATGATAACCTTTTTCAAGCATTATTAATTACTGTCTTATTTTATATTTGTTTTTATAGACAAAACATTTGTTAATGTTGACCAGAGACATTATAATGCATTTCTGTTTGTTAATGTTGACCAGAGACATATAATGCATTTCTGTTTGTTAATGTTGACCAGAGACATATAATGCATTTCTGTTTGTTAATGTTGACCAGAGACATATAATGCATTTCTGTTTGTTAATGTTGACCAGAGACATATAATGCATTTCTGTTTGTTGATGTTGACCAGAGACATATAATGCATTTCTGTTTGTTGATGTTGACCAGAGACATATAATGCATTTCTGTTTGTTAATGTTGACCAGAGACATATAATGCATTTCTGTTTGTTAATGTTGACCAGAGACATATAATGCATTTCTGTTTGTTGATGTTGACCAGAGACATATAATGCATTTCTGTTTGTTGATGTTGACCAGAGACATATAATGCATTTCTGTTTGTTGATGTTGACCAGAGACATATAATGCATTTCTGTTTGTTAATGTTGACCAGAGACATATAATGCATTTCTGTTTGTTAATGTTGACCAGAGACATTTAATGCATTTCTGTTTGTTAATGTTGACCAGAGACATATAATGCATTTCTGTTTGTTAATGTTGACCAGAGACATATAATGCATTTCTGTTTGTTAATGTTGACCAGAGACATATAATGCATTTCTGTTTGTTAATGTTGACCAGAGACATATAATGCATTTCTGTATAAACTTTATTATGGAAATTAGGTATAATCTTGTTAAGAAAAGTTACAAAGCATGCAGATTCAGAAATTCTTAAAAGGATGGGTTTTAGGTGTTCCATCTGGAATAGGTGGGTTCCTGTCTAATTTTCTAGATTTTTTTATGTGATTTTTTAAAAATAATTTCAACCCTGGGAATCTCCCTGTTCTGAATCAAACATTAACAAGCATGTCTTATGGTTTGAGGTGACTTTTGTTATGTAAATTGATGAGTCCAATCTATGATTGTGTTTTTGAGATAAAACAAAATGGTAATAGTTTTACTTTCTATTGAGGGTATCTGATAAGTTGATATATCTATGGTAGATACAAGCATGAATGATCTTTTGGCCTAGTACAATTTAATTCATACACATCAAAGATTTGTATACAAATCCTTGTACACATTCAGACATTTCTAGCACAGTGCAATTACAATAAATACAAACAAAAAACTACATATTGTTCCAATCCTTCCTAAGGCACACACCTCAACAACCAGGCTGTAGTTATGTTAGCTACTAAATCTTTACGCACTGAAATAAAGCTCTCAATAATTCTCATGTATGCACAACTTGAGGTTATAACCTATTTTTAAAGCAGTTCATTCAAGTAGTATGGATGTCTATGGTTTTGTCAATTTGCTGGGTAAATTTGATTAGGTAAGAGGGTGATAAAGGATTAACAAGACCTTTTTTAAAAAAAACAGACAAAATATAAAACCTGTACAAATAAAGATGTATAAGTACTATCTATATTTTAAACATTTCAAATCTTTAAAAAAAAATAAGGTACTTGTATAAGCATATTTTTGTAAGGAAGAAAGAACCCAACTATAATCAAATTAGTTCTTTTTTTTTTTTAATGTTAAAAATTTACATTTTCAATACCTTTTTGCAGAAAATGCAAAATTATAAATTTATTAAAAATACTCATCATGATGTCCTTTGAAAATCCTTTTCATATCCATATCAATGACAAATGTTAAGAGAAGGCGAAAAAAAAAAACAGTCCTCATTCTGAAATTAAAATATTAAAAGAATATGTCTCAAAAATGAAAATCCTCCATCATTGATCAATAGAATAAAAATCTTTCTAGCAATAAAATTGAGAATGGAAATGGGGAATGTGTCAAAGAGACAACAACCCGACCATAGAGCAGACAACAGCTGAAGGCCACCAATGGGTCCTCAATGTAGCGAGAAACTCCCGCACCCGGAGGCGTCCTTCAGCTGGCCCCTAAACAAATAAGTATACTAGTTCAGTGATAATGGACGTCATACTAAACGCCAAATTATACACAGGAAACTAAAAATAAAAATGATACAAGACTAACAAAGGCCAGAGGCTCCTGACTTGGGACAGGCGCAAAAATGCGGCGGGGTTAAACATGTTTTTTGAGATCTCAACCCTCCCCCTTTACCTCTAGCCAATGTAGAAAAAACAAACGCACAACAGTACGCACAGTAAAACTCAGTATAATAGAAGTCCGAGTCCGATGTCAGAATAGGAAACAAAAGAAAATAAACAAAATGACAATAATACATAAATAATAACAGACTACTAGCAGTAACTGACAAGCATGTTATAATGAAAATTACCCTATGCCACCCTACAACTATTCATCACAAGAAACTAAACATTATTTGATTAAAATATAAAATTACAATTCAAACCTAGGACATAGTTTATTGACTTAGTTCAAATCCACTTAAAGTTATTACACTATTCCCAGTTTAAACAAAGTTGTTATGTAAATTAAGAGACCCTCTCACTCACACTTGGCCCACTTTACCCACTGGAAAAAAGCTTATCTATCTATCTTTTCGAATCTTGTGTGAAGTAGCCGAAAAGGTGGAAACATTTAGCTCAATGTACCCTTCTATGAAAAGGACACTTCTCACACTGAGGCTTTCGGATCGGGGATTCGGGCAACGTACTTAAGGCCGTACTTTGACCTATAATGGTTTACTTTTACAAATTGTGACTTGGATGGAGAGTTGTCTCATTGGCACTCATACCACATCTCCTTATATCTATTTAGTCTGCAGCTTGTGATTTAGATATGTGACAAGCAGATCTTTTTTAGGGTGATCCCGCTTCAGAGTAAGACTTGAAACAAAAAGCCAGATGCTTTTCCCATTCCGTATTCACTCGAGTATGACAACACTGATTATATTGCATCTTCAATCAGATTTTTTCCCTGGGACATGTCTCATTGATAACACTGTTGCACAACACCAGAAATTCCCTGTATAATAGATATAAGAACATTGAGTGAGACTCCCCTGATTCTGTTATCATAGTATTACAGTTGTATTGTCGGTATATAGCAATCAATACAGGTCCCAATACTGTCCTGTTTTCCATTAAGGACCCTATCGAGAAAGTGATGCGTCAGTGAACAGCAGCTTCTCTAGCCAAGGGTTACGATCAAGTCCCGTCCTCTCCAGCCAGTTACAACTGCGATTAATAGAATTCATTACCTCGGTGATCCGAAATTCTATCTAAATCCGCCAAGGGTGGAGAGGAGGGGACTGGATCATAACCCTTGGCTAGCGAAGATGGTGAACAGTGACAGGTCACAGTGGGTTCTGGGAGATCCAATGGTAACCCTCAGAAGGTTTGCTCTCTGTGACCAATAAAGATGAAGCATTAAGCAAACTGGATAAAAAAATTCAATAAGATACCACTGAACTTCAAATCATCAAAACCTTCCCCTTTTTGTTTTCGAGCAAGGCGCCTGCAGCTACAACAAAATGTTCGTGTGTGTCAAGGACATTGGACGTAAGCCTAAGACGGGACAGCGACTGGGATAAACGTCACCGTTGAACAAGTTTGCAGAGTTCACGAAAATGGTCGGTCCTGTCGGTCCTGTCGGTCAAAATGAGGCTCGGACCAGTATTTTGAAGGCTAGGGCCGGTCCCAATGACCGATGTAAAAACGGCCGTTGTAGTGCATATTTCGGCACTTTTTTACATCGGTTATTAGATGTACCGCAACTGTTTCCAATAAGTGTTTACATCGGTTATCAGATGTATCCGCTGCCAATTTCCGGTACTGGTTTACGGATTTATTATAAACAAACCAAAGCGGCGATCTACACGTGGCCTACTTAATTTGTCCATAGAGCCATCCCTGGCAAACAATCGGCGATTGAACCTTACAATGGAGCAAACAAATACTGTAACAGCCGAGAAAGTGATTCAGATGATGAAATGGATAGTGAAGATGACTTTAATTAAGAACAATCAGAAGACCCGAACTAGTCTTTCATTGTTAATTTGCCTGTGGGTGCGGAGAATAAAACTAATATTAATAAAGTTATTTTTCGATAAAATATGTTATTAATTTTTTTTCAGGATAAAATTGAGAGATTTTGTAGGACTGGCTAAAATTTTGTAGGACTGACAAATAATCATGCTTTGTCGGTCCCATGACCGACGGGTCAAAATAAGTTTTCGCGAACTCTGAGTTTGAGAAAGATGACCAAAGCCATTAACGTACCGGCGACTATTTTCACAAGGCAGTGGCTATAAGCCTCCTTACCTTAGCGCTATTTTGCCGGCTCCGGCTAAATAGCGATTTATATAGTTTTGCTATTTTGCTGGTCTTGATTTAGATTTTTCAGTATATTAATTACGAATAGAAAGAAATGTAGAAACATACACTTTAACATGTTAATAAGAAATCTCTAAAAATATGTCTTCTTTAAAAAAAACTTAAACATAAGCAAAGCATGCATATTCTAAAAAAAAATTTCCCATAAGTTTTGAAACTAAAAGATACTTTACATACAAAAAATATGTCTTTTTTGAA